GAGACGCAGCAACCTGGTGGACTGCGCCAAGCACATGGCCTGGGGACTGAGCCAACTTAGCGGCATCCAACGCGACAAGCCTAGGGAAAATTAACTGAATTATAGCATGGAATAAGGATTTTTGGCTGTTTACAACTGTGATCATGATCTTTAACTATACCTATGATTATGCTATGGTTTCCCGAAATGGTTTACCAAATTAGCAAAGTACTATGGTTTACTAGACTATGATCATATCCGATGAACATAGCTATGGAACTTACTCATCCGCAAATTCATCAGAGATTTATATTCGTAGAGGCTTTAATGTCTGGTAAATTACAGCGAAGTGGAAAATCATCAATTTTTCATCGGAACATCTCGGCAAATCATCGAACTAAATGGGCCGTGGCTTCCACAGCTATGTAACAAACGCCAGAGGGTAATTATTATCGAAGCAATAGTGGCATTTTGAACCACGAAGCATATGACACTGGAGGGTAAGCATCATTTTTTGTGGGGAACTAGTAAGTAAATGATGGTTGGATGATGGTTGGATGATAGTTGGATGATAGTTGGATGATAGTTGGATGATAGTTGGATGAGGAGTTGGATAAGGATGATGATGATGATGATGATGATGATGATGATGACGATGACGACCATGACGATGACGATGACGAGCATGATGATGATGATGGTGATGATGATGAGGATGATGTGACGATGACGAATAAGTACGATGGTTACTACGGTCTTCTCACCATTAGAGTGATCACTGACAAAGCTCAGGGCTTCAATATAGTATCTGCTTTTCTAGTTTATTTTTGATGATTTTTCCGTAATTATTCATTTTGACTTCGCTGTTGGACCTTGCATTTGGTGACTTTCACGTTTCTGGAGAACACATTTTTCAAAATGTACAAAGTCCTTCTTTTTTTTGTTGGGGTTGACATGATGGGACGCACATATCACATATATATATATATGCATATATATATAGAATTCCATGAGTAGCGAGAAGATCATTTCAGAAAGAGCCGTTGCTGTTTGTTCTACCCATCTCACATACACTTCAAGAAAAGCATCAAGAAAGAACATCTTTACAGTACTTAAAAAGTGGTCGCTGGTCGCTTCAGCGTTCTGACACTTGCTATTAATCAATCTTCCACTCATATTCCATGAATATACCCATTAGATGCCATTCAATCAGCATTTTCCATTCATATTCCATGCATATAGCCATGATACTGTGGATGGCTGTGAAATTCTGCACCAGTTGATAGATGGTAAACATCCCATCATTTATAGGCTTTCAACATGTTTCAACCATCAAAGGTGGTGCAGGATTTTTTCCATCCACAGTATTGTTTTCTGTTTAATTCCCTGAATCTAACTTTGACATCGTTTTTTTATTTGGCTTATTACCCGCAGACCCTGGCAGACATAACTGGGATATTTTCTCAAATCTGGAGGCAATGATATACTCCATCGTTGTTTCCATGGTTTTTTCCCCGTCCATGGCGCTTCGCTTCACCAGGGCGCGACGATCCGCAAGATCAGCTGGATGCCTTCCCTGGAGATGCTGACTACGGTGGGGTGTGGACCTTCCGGGGTGATTTTTAAGGGGGGTATCCATATTTATATATATATAATTAGATACTGTATACAAAAATAAATATAAATATATATATATATATATTGTGAAACTGCCTAGTTTCTGATAGAACCTGGGTCACATTCCATTTTCCCGAAGCAGATCGGGATGAACCTCGTGTCTCTCGCCGCCATCAAGGGTGGGAGGGCTGTGGAGCTTGCATGGCATACGGAGGAAGGAAAAGAAGTCAAAGGGGTTGACTTTAACATTGGTAGCGGAGCCTACCCCTGGCTCACGCGTAGGAACTTTTGGGGTATAGGCTAAGGTCCCCTAATTTTGTGGAAAAGGAAACAGGCCTAGGCTTAGGTGGTAAGGACAAGGTGTCAGATCAGGCGATCAGAAAAGTTTGAAGCAGTAAGGAACACGGGGCGTGTTCACTCGGCGTAGCAATGGGCACGGAGTCCGGAGCAGCGGCAGCTGCTTCTTCGACAGTGGAGAAGGAAGGAAGTCTCTGGTCCATCCTTCCGAGTTTTGACCCTCAACAAGATGACCCTAGAGAATACAGAGACAAAATTACGTTCCTCCATGGGATATGCCCAAAGAAAGACAAGGTGATGTTGGCCCCGAGACTGGCAATGTTGATGAAGGGGACGGCATGGGCACAGGTGAAGCTCATTGATCCCTCCAAGCTGACAGACCCAGACAATGGGATCAAGGCCTTGTTACAGGCGATATCGACATGGGAAGAAACGGAGGAGATGCAGCTCTATGACAAGTTCGAGAAGGCAATGTTTCGAACGACTCAGAGGACGGGCGAGACGACTCAGAGCTATGTCCACAGGTTGTCGGTGTCTTTTCACGAGTTGGGCACCCTGACTGTCAAGGACATCAAAGGGTTCATTGTTTTGAGACAAAGTTCACTGAGTGTGGAAGACAAAAAACGGGTCCTGACAATGGCAGGTGATCCACTCACCCAAGAAGGAGTTGAAAAGGCGATGAGACAGTTATCAACAAAAGTGTTGGTAGGACAGCGAGAGAGTCGCAAAAAGGTGTACCCAGTGAATTACATTGAAGATGAACCAGAGGAGGCTCACTTTGTCCAGGAAACCGAGAACATCGACGAGGAGCATGCCATCGTGCTTCTTGCCGAGCAAGGAGACGAAGATGCACAGCTGATCAAGGACTTCGAGGACCAACTCATCGAGGTGTGCCAGGACAATCAGGACCTGGCTATGTGCTACAACAGCTATGCAGAGGCCCGGGCAAAAATCAGAGACAGAATCCGACACAGGGGATTCTGGCCATCGAACAACAAGGGCCGTGGCAAAGGTGGAAAGAAGGGGGCCAAGTCTGATGTTGGTCGGATGTTTCCCAAGAAGCAGACTTTAGCAGAAAGAATTGCTTCCTCAAACTGCAGGAAGTGCGGTGCCAGGGGGCATTGGAAGTGGGAATGTCCCCAAAAGGACTTGAGCCACAAAGAAGATGTGAACATCGCCGTCACCACCGACGTTATGGAGGAGGAGCAGGAGATCTTTGCAGACCTACCTGAAGGAGTGCGTGGGCCGGGCACGGTTGAAGAGCTCTTTGAGATGCTTGCTGAAAAGGACTGCCAGGGTTCCACATGCCACCCACCGGGAATTGTTTTCAATTCCAATGTTAATGGAGAATTCATGGAAACAGCATTTGTGTGCAGTCTGGCAAAATCAAAGATTAACGGTCACAGTCTTGGAACGGCACTCATGGAAGCCATGTCCAGGAAAACTGAAGGTGAGGGGAAGGTAGGAGCATTTGACCGGGCCACAGGTTGCCCAGGAATCATCGATACAGGTGCCAGCAAGACCGTGATCGGCCAGAGCAAAATCAAATTGCTGATCCGAAGCCTGCCTGCTGAGATTCAGAGGAAAATGAATTGGAAGAAGTCTGAAACTGTTTTTCGTTTTGGTAACAATGCAGTCCTGCCAAGTGTTGGAGCATTGTTTTTACCTTTTGGATCAAGGTGGATGAAGGTAGAGGTCGTTGCAGGTGAAACACCATTTTTGCTTTCCAATTCATTTCTGAAATCAATTGATGCTGACGTGTGCACAGGGAGATCGACACTTCGCCTGAATCAACTAGGATATGAGGTCCCCCTACGAACTAATAACAAAGGCTTGTTTGTTGTAGAACTGGCGGAAGTGATCGCAGCATTCAGTCGTGAGCACCAGTGTCAGAAAGTTGAATTGGTAACCACTGTAACTGTAGAACAGCAGCCTCAGCAGCAGAGACACCACCAATCAGCAGCTGAAGTGGCTCAACACAACGACCGGGAGAGTGCCAACGTTGAGACATCGGTGAACTGTGAACGTCGCTGTCATGGCGTCCAAGCAGGGCACGATGGGGTACGCCGTGAAGCTGGATCAACCACTGCCTTTTCCAGAGGATCCGAGCATGACCTATATGACGGTGACCGTCGAGGAGGAGATCAAGAGACCTCCCGGAGTGCAAAATCTCCGGCAGTGGGGACAAATGGTGATGGCCGAGGGAAAGTACAAGGGAACGTTGTTCATGGATGTGATCAACAAAGACCGGGAGTACTCCAATTGGATGAAGAAGCACCAGCGCCTGTCGAGCGACTGGGCAGTCTCCTTCCAGAACTTCGTGAAGGCCTGGGATCAGACACATGGCTACAACCAGGTGGTCAAGTCTTTGGGAGCAACACCAAAGGCACAAGCGATGAGTCAGGTGAAGAAGATCCCGGAAGTGAAGAGCTGGAGCGAAGACGAAGAGGAGATGGTGATGATCGAAAGCGAGGGACAAACGATCCAAGGGCCAAGGAAAGTGATCGGGAGCTCGTCGTCATCGGGCAAAAGAGCGCTCGGAGTGGAGAACGAGAACAACATGCAGGCAGAGGTGAATCCGGAGTTGGTTCAGCAGTTGCAGCTGCAAATTGCAATGCTGCAAGACCAACTGACCAGAGCGACCAAGAACACGGCACCGTGAAGGAGATGAAGGACAAACCGAATGAGCAACTGGGTGAACCAGCATCAACGGATGAGGTCAATGGAGAGTCGGTGGAAACAACTTCTGAAGTTATACAAAGGGGACATGAGATTCTTTGTCACTTGGAAGGTTTGTCCAATACAATTGAAACCGAGCTCCAAGACCTTTTGATGGTGACCCCGGGAGAGAAATCTCTACGTCACACAACACTACGAACCAGATCACGACCTTGCGGTCTGGATCTCTTGGAAATTTATTGTGAATCAGAATCAACGTTGACAACAACTATCAACGAAATGGGAATGAAGGCCAAGAGATTCACGCGGCAAGATGGTGACTTGTCGACGGCAGAAGGCAGGGAGAAACTTTGGAAAATGATCGACCGTGAGCAACCTCGCAACATCTGGGTAGCTCCAGAGTGTAAATTCTGGGGAAACTTTAGCAGGTGGAACAGCGGGAGAAGCACAGCCACAGCAGAAACGATACAAGCAGGGAGAGAGAGAGAAAGGGTACACCTAAGGTTGTGTTGTGATTTGTATTGGCATCAAGTTGTTTTGGGTAGGCACTTCCATTTAGAACAACCCCAGGGTTCTGAAGCTGTGGATCAAAAAGAGTTGAGGGATGTTGTTTGGGGAACATATCGAACAGTGTTTGACATGTGTGAGGTAGGCAAGCTACGTGTTCCACCAGGAAATAACTATCTCCAAAAAAGAACTGTGGTGCTCACGACATCCAAAGAGTTTCACTCCTTGCTGGATGCACGGTATTGCAGGAAAAACCACCTGCATCAACCTATCCTGGGACAAATGTATATAGCTGGCAGGTGGCAGAACCTCTCCGCGTTTGCAGCCAAGTATTCAAGAGGCTTCGCCAAGAATGTTGGTTTTGGAATTTTTCGAAGTCGTCAGTTGGATGAACCCCCTGCAATCCTGAGTGAGTTGTTGGTACCTTGTTTTGGGGTAAGGGAAGCCGAACAAAAAGACTTGGCAAATGAAATTGTCAAAAGGAGAAAATACAGTCACAAACAAGAGCCACGGCCAGGCGAAGAAGAGAGTCCCCCGATTCCATCTGGATTGAGATATGGACCAGTTCCAACATGGAAAGAGATCTTCAGAAGTGCGTCAACAGGGGCTGCAAGGGTTGGTTCAACAGTTGTAGACCCTCAAAGTGAGTTGTTTGGTTTAATTTCTCAACTGGTTCATCAGTTTCAACCAAGACATATTGAAATCTGCAAAGGAACTGAACGGTTTCGTGTGCCAAAAGCTGGAGTGGACCTGACTGATCTCAGGTATCGTTTCACTGTCATCCTCAACCGGGAGTCAGGACTAGTAGAAATTTTGGGAGACCCAGAGGAATGGAAAAGATTACCCAAAACCAAACAGATCAGGAAGGCCAAACCGGCCCGTATGAGCATCACGATTTTTGGGAGTGATTTTGGTGGGAAACCCGAACAAGTCCTGGGGAAGAGCCTGGCTGAGGGTGATGGCAGAATGGAGATTTCAACAGCAGGCCAATCAATGGCACCGGAAGGCGAAACTATCAGTTTTGATGCGATCCAAAGTGATGTCAAGCCAGCACCAAATGTCGATGAGAGTGGAATAAAGATAAGTGAGGGGTATCCACCAAGAAGTATCCCACAACATGGGCCGGGGTTTTTGTCTTTGGGAAAAGAGGAGCAAGATTGGGTTAGGAATACACATGGGAAGATGGGACATCCTGACCCCCAAAGGTTTGCTCGTTTTCTGAAGACCACTCATGCATCTCCGACAGTGATCGCTGGAGCCTTGGACTTTCAGTGTGACGCGTGCATTGAGTCTCAACGAGGCTTTCAACTGTCGCGACCGGCGGCTATCCATGATGATTTGGGGTTTAATGAGGTTTTGGGGATGGATATGGCCTTTTGGAAGGGTAAGAATGGAGTTTCTCATGGTTTTGTTCATTTCATTGATGAGGGGACTCTATTTCAACAAGCCGTTCCATGTCGTGAAGATGCACAGTCACAGTTTAGAGCGTTTTCCACAACCTGGCTGAACTGGGCGGGACCCCCAAAAGAGCTGTACTTTGATCCAGCCACGGAATATGTATCCGAGGAGTTTCTCGGGAAGCTGCAGAGCCAAGGGATTGCCCCAAAAGTGTCAGCCAGGGACAGTCACTGGCAATTGGGCCGAGCCGAAATCCATGGTGCCATTTTGAAACGAATGTTAGATCGAATGGACACCGAAACTCCGATTGAAACTCCGGAGCAGTTCCAAGAGTGTCTCATCCAAGCTGTCTGTGCTAAAAATGCTTTGTCAAGGGTCAGAGGTTACACCCCGGAACAAGCAGTTTTGGGTATCTCTAGGAGGTTGCCGGCATCGGTGGTGTCAGATACATCTCAAGCCAGTCACACGATGGCAGCTGATGTGTCACGAGAAAGTGAAAAGTTTCGTGCGGCACTGGAAAGGCGAAGCCAAGCCAGAAAAGCTTTTATAGAAGCTGACAACTGCAGCAGTCTTCGAAGGGCCCTCTTACGGAAAACAAGACCCATAAGAGAACCATATGAAGAAGGGGATTGGGTTTTGTACTGGAGGCGTAGAGGTGGAAACATGAGGAGAGAGAGGGGTAGATGGTATGGACCGGCTAGGATTGTACAGGTTGAGGGGAAAAGGGTCGTTTGGTTGGTTCATGCAAATCAGCTCGTAAGAGGAAGCCCTGAGCAGTTGCGACCTGCGTCCAGTAGAGAGTGGCGAGCTGTACAGCAAACAGAAGAGGCCATGCACCCGGTCAAAGAATGGCTGCAGAAAATTCGTGCAAAGGACTTCTTCGATTTGGAAGCCGAAGAGCTTCCAATAGAGGAAGATGACCAAGGAGAGGGGTCAGCGGTTCAGCAACCAGAGGATCCACCATCATCAGGATATACACCGTCCCTTGGGGAACCCGAAAGGGAAGTCACGTTAGATGAGGGGGATAATCATGGAGAAGAGTTGGAACCTGGGGATTTGGGAGGTTTGGGAATCCACATAGATACTGATGATGATAGCGCTTTATTTGGGGATACACTGGATTTCTGGGAACCGGACCCGTCGAAGATCTGGGAAATTGACATAACCCCCCCAAACATGAGTGAAACTTGGGAGAGCTTTGATCCTTCTGAAGTAGTCATGTTGGCAACGGATCTCCGGAAGAAACGTGTTGAAGTCAACTTGAAAGAGTTGGGGGAAGAGGATCAATTAAGATTTGCAGCAGCCAAGGACAAAGAAATCCGTGCATGGCTCCATCATAAAACAGTACAAAAAGCTGCCAAAGGCAGGATTCCCGACCACGCGGTCATGCAATGTCGTTGGCTGTTAACTTGGAAAGGACCCAATGGAGACGAGCCACCAGGTGAGTTGGCTATGAATGGTTAGAAGGCTAAGGCTAGGCTTGTGATTATTGGATACGAGGATCCAGACCTTAGCACCATCAAAAATGACAGTCCAACACTTTCCAAGGATGGCCGACAAACTGTACTCCAACAAGTGAGCAGTTACAAATGGCCGTTGATTTCTTTTGACATCAGTACGGCATTCCTCCATGGAAAAGGAGATGGCCGTTGTCTGGGAATCCATCCACCAGAGGAGCTGCGTGAAGCTTTGTCAATGGGTGATCATGATCAATGTGCCCTTAATGGCGGTGCCTATGGTAGGGTAGATGCACCATACCTGTGGTTTTGTGAGCTAAGGGACGAGTTGCTGAGCCAGGGATGTAAGCAGTGTCCATTGGATCCCTGTGTTTTTACATATGGAAAACATGATCACCAAGGGAAATACACACCTCTGGGATGTCTGGGAATTCATGTCGATGATGGTATCGGCGGAGGTTCCCCAGAATTTCTTGAGATGCTGCGCAGAGTGGAAAAACGTTTCAAATTCGGAACTTTCGAGACAGGAGAGTTTAAATATACTGGAATCCATTTTAAGCAGTGGGATGATGGGAGTATTGAGTACGACCAGAAGGCTTACATTGAAAAAATTGAGCCAATTGTCATTCCCAAGGAACGTCGGAGTCATCCAGAAAGCCCTGTCTCGGAAGAAGAAAGGAAAGCCCTCCGCAGCTTAATTGGGGCATTACAGTATGCAAGTGTGCATTCGAGGCCGGATATCAGTGCAAAAGTTGGAGAAGTGCAAGCAACTGTCACGAAAGCGACGGTTGCAGAACTGATACAATGTAACAAAATTCTCCATGAGGCGAAGTCTCATCCAGTGTCACTGATGATCCTGCCGATTGCCCCCAGTGAGGTAACTCTATGTGCCTTCTCAGATGCCAGTTTCATGTCAAGTCGTCATAGTACTGCACACCAGGGGACCCTCATTTTCACAACCACTCCAAGTATGCTGGAAAACCAAAAGGCCATAGTGGCTCCCATTGCATGGTCAAGTAAGAAAGTTCCACGAGTCGTTCGATCAACCCTCAGCGCTGAAGCAGCGGCATTGAGCAACACTGTAGACAGACTGCTATGGTTGCGGATGCTGTGGGCTTGGGTCAAAGACCCTGAATGTGAGTAGGGAAATCCGGAGGATGTCTTGGGAAAAGAAAATAAGGCAGCAGTTGTAACAGACTGCAGATCCATGTATGACATCCTGACTCGAACGGCAGTTCCAAGTTGTAGCGAATACCGAACAACTATCGAGTGTTTGTTGCTGAGGGAGCGCTTGAAGTCCAATTGTGATGTCAGGTGGGTGACTAGTCAGGCAATGCTTGCTGATTGTTTGACTAAAACAATGGATTCTTCGGTGCTTCGTGAATGCTTGAGAACAGGGAAATACTCTCTTTTTGACGAGGACCAAGTCCTTAAGCAAAGAGCTGATGGACGTCAGCGACTGAAGTGGATCAGGGAACACCAGAATGGGACCACTGAAACTTCAGAAGTTTTGAATGATGCAGAGCAGGAGCAGGCATGTCTTCATGTACAGAAAACCGAACCTAAGGATTTTTGGTGTCTGGGTCCTGGAAAGCAAGTGCGGCGAATCCATGTGGTTCCAAGAACTCGACGTTTTGTTCCTATTGGGGTTACTGATTGTCCTGTCAGCATTAAGTGTTTGTCTGCGTGTCGGGAAACTCGAGTAAAAGGTGGGAAAGTTGAGAGGGATTTCTGGACAGGCACACGTGGAGCTGCACGTTTTCCATCACCATGGACTGGTGAAACCATTTTCTATCAGAAGTTGGATCAGCCAAGTTTTGGAAAAGAGAAGGTGTGTGAAACTGCCTAGTTTCTGATAGAACCTGGGTCACATTCCATTTTCCCGAAGCAGATCGGGATGAACCTCGTGTCTCTCGCCGCCATCAAGGGTGGGAGGGCTGTGGAGCTTGCATGGCATACGGAGGAAGGAAAAGAAGTCAAAGGGGTTGACTTTAACAATATATATATATATATGTATGAATTATAATATATAATTAATGGAATATCCCTACAGGCTGGGGCCCCCAAGATAGCGTTCAGTTGCTTTATAAGTGGCTGAATTCTATGGTTTATGGTAGATTAATGAACGAGTTAGTGGATGTGAATGGGGGTTATAAACCAACTTATAACTAGGGGGCACCCTCCTGTACCATCATGGATAATATTATGGGAATTCCATCATATAATATTCCATTATGGTTTATTATCCCTCCCACATGAGTGGGTGGTGTGTATATATATATATAAACAAATAAAATGGAATATTATATACTGGGTATATGGATAATATTATAGTGGAATATTATATCATGTGGGTAAAACAATGTCATAAACCGCCCATGACTGGGAATGGTAACCATACCACCTATTTGTGGTGACTTATTATTGTTTTACCTATATTAATGGGTATATGAGTGAAATGGAACATGAATGACATCTCAAAGTTGCTGATTCTGAAACGATATACCATCTATAAATGGTGATCTACTGGGTTTTTTCAATGGCTACATTTATGGAATATTCGAATGGAATATTCTGTTCAAGGCCCCTGACAAAATCAGTTCCAAGGCTTGGACAATTCCTTCAGCGATCGCCGTGTTGGATTGAAGAGAAACAAAACATGGCCATTGAAATAGTTGATTTACCCAGCTATAAAATGCTGGATCTTTCCAGTTCGTTTTTTGTTAGCCCGTTTACTCTAGAGGGTATCTCCAGAAAAATGAATCCAGAAAAATATCCCCATGATGTTCTGGTCATCGTTGGACTCCAAATGATAGCACTTCTCAGAAGTTTTCTCCCAGCAATTCCGGTTGTCCCAGTTTTCAAGGGTTGAACCAGGGAGAACTTGCACATAGTTCATAAACCATATTAACTATAGTAACTATAACTAATATATATAAATATATATACATACATACATACATATATTTATTTACCATAAGCATGCATCCCTATTAATTTTTTGGTACCTTCACCAACAAACAAAGCGATTCCGAACGGCCACCACAATCGCAGGTGGAAGGAACGGAGTCGGTGTATTTCTGGTCGCCCAGTATGGCCTGGGAAACGGCGCGCGTGGTGCGGTGGCCGAGTTCACTGGGGACATCCGCAAAGCGGTGATCCATGGGTTGATCAATTTCCAGTTCTTTGTGGATTTCGAACGTTGAAAACATCATCATCTGTTGGAGATGGCATATTTTCATATTTCCCCTTGGCAGTTTGGTGATTTCCCATGTCGAGACAGCATTTCGAGGTGACTCCTCAGCTGCCTCCAGACTACTTTGATGAGGGAAAGCACCTTGGCTGCACTGCCTGAGACCAAAAAACTTCCCCAGAGAGAATTCGTGCAGTTCGTCCAGGGATCCAGGATGAAAGGTTCATTGCCAGGCTGGATCCAGGCTGGGGCAGTTGTGACCACTGGCTCTCAGGCCCTTATGGACCGTGCATGCTGTTGCTTGGGACGAATCACAGGCGCCTTGTCCCATTTTCAGGATCCCCTGATGTTGAATGTGGCCTGTCTGCGCCAAGATCTAAACTGGTTTGTTTGGCAACCGTTGAGTAGGAACCAACCCACAAATTTTCAAAAGCACCTTAATAAACTCCCAGACTTAGCTGACAATTTTCAGTTTGAAGCCCTGTATTTATTGGTAAAACCAAAGTTTTTTGTAGCCTCTGGTAGTATTTATTGGTGGCTAGCTGGAAAACACCGAAAAATCGATGTCCCAGCGGCCCAGCGGCTGTTTGATGACACCGGAGGTCGGAGTTTCCCAATATCCCATTGATATTCCAGCAACATATTCCATTAGTATTCTATTTTATCCCGATCATATTCTGTTAAATCCCATTCAATCACCATTAAATCCTATTAAATCTCAATTTTGCCGATTTTTTGGTAACTTTCCATTGATCCAAAAAGAGGATTTGGTGGCCCTTCTCAGCAATCGCTTCCTGGTCTTCTGGCGCCTTCGAAACCGCGAGAAGGCGCCCACAGTGTCATGCTGCGGGCAGCGTTTTCAATGTACGTGAAGATCCACGGCTCTCGGGTCGAACAACATCTTGGATCTCAAGGAAAAATGGTGGTTTTAGGGGATTTAATGGCGATTGAATGGGATTTAATGAAATTTGGTTCCTCTGGAATCCCAAGCAGGGATCAGCTACCCCTATTGACTGGACATTATAGGGGGTTAGTTATTAAGTTATAATCCATTTCACAGGGATGCCTATGAACCAATTGCCAGTTTTTTACCCACCTAAACTACTCACCATCCAGCATTTCACGGGCCCCAGGTCCCAGGTCCCCACTTTCATGGTGTGGCGGTGCCATCTGTGTCTTCTCTAGGGGCAGTTCCAGCAGAAGAAGGAGTTCCGCTTCCATGCCACGCGGCAAGAGGCGGGAGTCTGGTTGATCTTACCAAACAATCCGTTGCCCAAGAATGGGATAAGCAGTATATACCGGTACTTGGAGGATCATTCCACGGATCGTACCTGGTTTGCCCAAGGCTTTGTAAGTTTGTAACCCTAGTAAGTCCCCCATTCCTGGGGTTATCCCATCTATAAATGGCTTGTAAATATGGTTAGGAAACTACTTAGTGAGTGGGAAGATCCTCCATACCGCCAAATCCATGGGTGACATATTTCCTGTGTTTGGGATTGCCATTTTGCTGCTATACCCACATTGTTAGACACACATTTTGGTCACCTGGCATTGCAATTAGAAGGGATATTTTTAAAAGAGAAGGTTTGTTGTTTTCTCTTCACGATGAATGTCAACCCAGATCAAACAACTTAATAAACCCTAACTATTACTTTTTTTTTTGGGGGGGGGTAACCTCCAAAATAGTTATCAATTACTATCAACATTGGTAGCACCCGAGGAAACCAACTGGTTTCTGCACCTGCCGCGAGGGGAAGCCGGGCACCTTTCCGTGGAAGGCGCTGGGCTGTTGATCCACATGGTGACGACTGGGGATCCATGACTTAAGAAACCTCCCATATTGTAAATTTATTTTTTTCCCCCAAGTTATTAGTGGGATATGTAGAAATATTTATGTTATATATGGGTTACCACTGGCGATTCCAGGGATGCACATGCCTACGTGCGGCGTTTTGCTGACACCAATGACCAACTTCTTTTACCTTATCAAATGATCATCACTATCCATAAATGGTGTTTTAATGGTGATATAATGGGATATGATGGAATATTGGTTAATTCCAACAACTATCATCCCCTTCTATTGGATAGTACCTTCTGGTTTGCAGAGGATTTTTCCCCTCCAACAGGTACACCTTCGAAGTGTGGATCCGAAAAACGGCGAGGCAGATGGGATGGAAGCGCGGGTAGGATAGGAAACCACTGGAGTTGCTTTCTGGCAAAAATCAGGGACAGTTTCAGATGATTTTATTGGGTTACGTAAACACTGAAAAGTTCTTTTTCATCCTTTTTCGGAACTTAGGATTCAGATTGGACTTACGATTTGGACCGGTCGACATGAGAAGGGTATTCTGAATGAAGCATCTCCTTCCGGTTTACAGGAAGCCAATGAAGAGGAAGTGGTGCGGAGCAAAGACAAGAAGGACCAACCTGGGGAAAGTGGCAGGACGGCGTGGAGCCAACGAAAATTCGGGACCCTGAACTGAAAAGTCCTGACTTTTCAAAGATGGAATGACTTCATTTTTCGGATCATTTCCACCATCCCCACGGCGCCACTCGACATAGGACGCACCGGAGATCTTGCTGGGAGAAAAGGCGAAGGCCGAGTCATCGATCCAGGGGAGGTGGACAAAAGGTGACCTGGGGATGGTGCAGATGACATTGGCGATCTGAACCACATTCATGTGGGAATATTCCAATGAGTGGGTGGTATATGTATATATATATATATCTAATTATATATATATATATCTGGGTAAATTATAACGACCTCACTACGACCTCACTGGGAATCATGGTTAGTAAGGGAAATCATCCCCAAATGGGCTTAATTCAGGTTAATGAATTATTATAATTTACCCATATATATATAATTTAATATTATATACTGGGTATATGGATAATATTATAGTGTAATATGATATCATGTGAGAAAAACAATGTCGTAAACCACCCATGACTGGGAATGGTAACCATACCACCCATAAAAATGGTGACATTGGGGATGGCTTATTATTCTTTTACCAACATTACAATAACTCTTGGGCGGTTGAGTCATCACCGATGGTCTTTCGAAGGTGAATGTCCGCCCGAAAGATCCTCAAGTGGCTGCGCGCAAAGAGAAACGTGAACAGTGGGAGTTCCCAGCATTCCCGCAAGCGGGCAAAATCCAAAGTGGCAGTTTGAAAAGGGGGGAAACGAGGTTTGAAACCAGGGAATTTTTGGTAAATCCAAGAATAAACCATCCCCAAATCCACAGGTGAGAATGCGGTAAATTGCCGCCCAGAATTCCGTGGCAGTGATGAAGGCGATGCTTCAGCCGCATCTCTAGAAAATGTCATAACACTTTCACATTTCTTATAGTTTTCTGCGAGAAATCCGTGTCAAAGTGATGGATTCTATATTTTTTCTAGTTCAATTCGATTTTGCCAGTAGGTTTTAAGTGATGATTCCATATGTTTTCTAGTTAAACTCCACTTTTCCAGTAGGTTTCCCTTCCAATCCATGGATTTTTGGTGCAGTCCCCGGAAGGTCCAATGGACCCTGAGGCGCCTGGCGGCCGAAGCTGCGCAACAGCTGGACATTTGGTGGAATGTAGGGTGGCTCAGGCGGAAGGGGAAGATTTGATGTCTAATGATATAATACTATATATATAGTATATGTGTATGCACATATATATATATATATACATGCATGTCATATGATCTATTATAGTTTATTACCTATATATATATATTCTGTTATTATTTTGAATATTATATATCGAAGGGGGATTTATCTATATATACACATCTATTATAAACCATTGTATTTGGGATTTGATGGGAGATGTTGGACCGTCTTTTTTTTTCCAAAACTCGCGCTGATGATTCCAGGATGCAGACAACGAATGAGGACCTTTGACTATTGCCAGATTCCTCTGTCTCTCTATGTACATGCATGCCTTTACATATACACACACAGATTATCTCGACAACATCAAATATCTTATTAAATCACAATTTTGAATACATTTTATACACAATCACCGTTTCCCATTCTATATCCCATTGAATCCCCATTTTCATAGTTTTTAATAGCCATGGTTACTCTTACGTAAACTAACGATGTGGAACAAAAAACCCGTAATGGTTTTCCATGAATCTACCGGATGTTCACCGTTCACCCGACTGGGCCCATGTGATGTTTTTCAGATCGTGACTCCATGAAGCCGACTGGATCTGAAAGCATTCTGTGGGGTTAAACATGCGCCATTGTTTGGCATAAAAATGGTCTTGTCCTGTAGCATCACAGTTTTGTGTTCAGCTTAGCTGGACTTTTTGAGATGATGGTATAATGGGGATATCATGGGGATATTTACTGGGGATCAATGATATATTTACTGGGAAAAATGATGGTATAATGAGGATATTTACAGGGTTTAATGGGGATATCATGGGGAATTCTGATATATTCATGGAACATGTGTTATTTTCTACCATTCTGGTAATCAACTGTGGCGATCGCTGAGAAATTCCCGAAGGAAATGTGCATTGACATGGGGAAAATCATGGAAATTCCATCAGTATAGCCATCAGCATACCCAGTATGTAGCCATGAAATATCACCACTGATAGAAGGTCAATGCTTTCACAATCAGAAACTTTGATATGTAATCCACATATATATATATATATGTATATATATATATTATACACACACATATCCATATTCATCCATTTCACTCATATGCCCATGATATACCCATGACATATCACCATAAAAGGAGGGACATCAACCATAAGGCGACCGAACTTCGTCTGAGGCCTCGATGAAAGTCTGGGTTTCAGCCGACTACGAGGGAAGGCGCAAAGCCATGGGAGAAGCCTGGGACAATGATCTACAAATTTGCGGCTTTTCCACCTCGAACTGTAAATGTTTGAAGGAGGGTATTGAGGGTATTGATGACCAAAAAGCATTCTGAAAGCTACCAAGAGTTGGCGTATGTTGATCTTTGCCACTTCTGTTTACCCCCGAAATTCGGACTTCAGTGCCATCCTGGGCGATCGTAGCACCGCAGCCAGGTTGTACTTGTGGGATCTGCGAGAACATACCATTGAGAGCACCATCTACCCCATGAAGGCTGGCCTGTGGCCTGCCATGGCCTAAACGCGGAAAATTCGTTGCTGGAATGATGTATGTACGCCATGGAAAATCACCTCTTTAATAGGTAAATCATCATGGATGATCTATCAAAGTGGGTCATGTTCAATAGTTATGTTGAAGAACCAGAGGGTAATGATCTGGAAAGATCTCCTGGTATCGAAATTCAGACTTGGAGACCGCTTGGGGTGGAAAACCTTCGAGATTGACATAGATTACTGCAAGATGCAAACACAGTACCGTTCTGAATAGAGGGTAAACCATGGTAAACCTCTTTTGACGCCCAGAACCATGGCGTGTTCAGTTCCCTTCTAGCATTTCCGATATGGGTTTCTCTGGAAATATCTTGCCCTGAGATTTGATTGTACATCAATTTATACAACCATCATTTTCCCTATTCGAATATGGCCTTTGGGGGTTTAATCCATTTTCAGATACACCCATTTCTCTCTCTCTCTCTCTATGTGTATATATATATATATGTATACACATAATGTATCTCCCCATATATTTGAAGAAAAAAACATACCATATCCTCTCTCCATGATGGTTCTATTCATCAAATCCCTGGCCAGATTCTTCATTCACACAGCCAAGTCGTTGCGTGCTGAGTCACCGAGTCACCACAGATGGGCTTTACGTCGTTTTTCACCAGGACGCTGATCGTTTTACCAGGTGAATCTGGCACCCAATTTTAGGTCGAAAAATCCTATACTAAAACAATGGTAGATGTATGATTTTCAATCTTTTTGGTTACAAACAAGTCCAGAATCATGATTGAGACGTTGAGTTACTGATTGAATTAGTTTAGTTACTGAGACGTTTAGTTCAATCTTTTTGTTTAGTTACTGATTGAATTCTTGAATTCATGTAGACGTAGGATGTCCGAGACGCCCAAGGTGACTTCGTTCTTGGAGCTCAGCTCCTTCAAATTCACCACTTGCTCCCTAGATCGTAGCGCCCGGAGTCTCGGTGCCTCATTTTTTTTCAGTACACTCAGTACACCCCAACGAAAAGGTGGTATTAATTGGTGTGGTATTAATGTGGTATTCATTGGTTTTCAATATTTCTGAGTCTCGGAATGAAACTTCAAGAATGTGGTACACCTGCAATATCATGAATTATCTCAGAATGATCTCCAAAATAAGCATACATGGGTGGGATTGATACCATCCGTAGATGGTAGCCTGTTTATCGCATCCATTCATCTGGAGCTCAAAGCAAAAGTGGCTCAGCCCCTTCGTTTTCTGGCATATGGCGAAGCCAAGTAATTTAGCATAGCTATTGAACATGGCCATAGAAATAGTTGATTTACCTATACAAAATGGTGATGTAATCCATAGTTTGTTTGTATACCAAGCATTTGGGATGAGATCAAGCCCTCTAGGTGAACTAGGTGAGCTAGGTGAACTATTGGCTTTACATCCCATTCATCCACCATTTTTCCTGATGAACTCCTCATGGCTTTCATGGCAAAGTCCCGATGAATTTCATCACCATCCCGTCCCGGTCGTGACCTGCCAGGTTTGCCTTTAGGACTCCCGCAACTTTTCGGGGCCTGAAGTGAAACTGGAGGACCATTTTTTTTTTATCATTTCAGGGGTCGAGCATTTTCTATGGGGGGTTGAACGTTGAACCAGTTGAATCCCGAAACTCGATGGTATCATCAAGCCTCTGGGCTTCCCCCGTATAATTCGCCTTGAGTCCGAAACAAGAAAGTTAGGAGGGCATAGGGGTTCGTCTGAAATTTGGAGGACACCTCCAAATTTCATAGTCTGAAATCTGAAACCTCATGTTTCCCAGTAAGGATGGCAATGTTTGAGGTATCCAAAGTAGCCAGTGATTTCAGGCTGATTTTCGACAGGAGCACACAGGAGCTGTCTTATCCCAAGCGTAACTTGCTTGCAGGTGGCTGCTGGACTTGATGCTATACTTTCACAAGGAGAACATATGGTGGATCAATACCTATACAGATCTATAGCATTTTTAGGGGGATGACCATCCAGACATCCCAGCTATTTTGATGTGACAGGGCTACAAACTAAAACTTGACGACCCATCCCCAGCAGAAATCGATCCGACCTGAGTCAAAAATGGTTGGATTTTTTTCCCCAAATGGCAATGATTCGATTGATGATTTTGCTGGCGAAACATGCTGGCGTTCATCACTGGCGAGCCAAGGTATTTGCCATTGTTTTCCAGTCTAGTGACCGTTGGCCGGTGCACCCAGGATGGTGACACAGGGCTGGGAGATGCAGACGTGTCATGATCTGGGCACCACATCCCGAAATGACTAGCCCCGAAATAGGACTCGTCGACTCGTTTTTCAGCTAATACCTCAGAAGTTGTCAACTCATCACTTGATAAATGTGGCTCAGTGTGACTGAAAAAACAGCGCTGCACAGATTTTAGATATTTCAGGCTTCATGAATACATGACATAACATAACTCACTCGTATCATTCACAGTAATCCGATCCACCTCAATATCAAATACACCCATTTTTTTGTTCCAAATATGTGGTTTCATCCCCTACTAAACCTTGGTTTCTGGGGGATGTCTAATATCTATGTGGAACGGGATTATGCTTCGAGATTATTTCCATCCATTCATCCATTGCCAGCGATTTATATCCCACAAATATCCCACTCAATCCAGGTAGGATCATCCCAGGGGTCGTAACTGGTAACCCTGGTTGTTTTCGTAAGTCCTTTGCAAAACCCTGGGTTTTTTACGGAGTAAACTGTCCCATGTAGAACATGGATGAACATACCCATTTATAGATGAATTACTAAATTAGCTATAGAATATGGAACATTAGAACATGGCCCATCACCCATTTATAGATGAATTACTAAATTAGCTATAGAATATGGTGATTTTCCATGGTGATTTTCCACATGGGACAGGTTACCCTACGGTTTCCACATGGGCCGACAGGTTGCGAGAAGCGTGTCTTCGTGTGGTCCATCGACTCGACGGCTTACCGTGGGGCTTGGGAGACTCAGTGGTGATGGAAAGTGACCAGGGCGAATTCAGAGCTAGGGCAGCTAGGTAAATCATGATGTTTATCATCTTTTTGAGACATCAACATCATCAACTGGACCATTTTCCATAGCTATCATTGCTATGCTAATGGATTAGTTGTAATTATCTAATAGGTAACCACTAAAATCAGACAATAGATTGTGAACATGATGAACTTTATCATCATGAATATGGGTATAATTCAGATATTGCTTAGATATTTGGATATGAGTTGGATCTTAGATATTCACCCGTAGATGCTATCGATTTTTTCATACTTGGATATCTTAGATTCTATGACTAATCTTCCATATATAGTATCATCCTTCCACATAGTTGGATCCTCCACACTAAATTTTAAATGATCCTAGATGCTATCTTAGACACTAAACATCAAAATGTCTCTGACTCCTCCAGATCCGATTCGCAGCTGAGGTTCGAGCCAAGTTGTCTGCACACCAGGCGAACCTGGCCCAGGTCTCCACCGGGCAACGGGTCTTTGTGACGTTGGATGAGGCAAGGGCGGTCGTTGATTCATCCGTGGAGGTTACTGGGGAAACCAGGGAGGTATATAACTATAATATACTATGGGATCATTGGCGGGATCGAACTAATAGGTCAAACTAATAGGTAAATATAACTATAGGTATAACTAATTATATAATGGTATATAACCATAATATAATGTGATCGAACTAATAGGTAAACCTTATTGGATCAGAGGGATTCCCGGCTGACAAAAGCTGGAAGGTAATCATGACAGCGGATTGGCAGAGCACTGATTGGTCCTCGGGGAAGGTGGCGGCGTGACATATTGGGATATCACATAGAAAACACACATTTTTATAGCAACTTCCCGCTATGGTTTCTATGGATATATATGGAGGTTTCCATAGTCATGGGGGTACCCCCAATGGATGGTTTATAATGGAACAACCTATAAAAATGGATGATAACTGGGGTACCCCTATTTCAGGACACCTTCATATTGGAAATATATTGGAAATATATTGGAAATACACGGAAATATATGGACATCTACTTGGTAAATTATTGTTAAATACCACCGCCAAAAACCAGCGGTTTTTTGGATGTCTACCTTCATTTTGGGAAGGCCTGCATCTTCATCCTGTGGGACGGTGCCACACTGCAAGCACTGCAGACGCCTGGGGGCCCAATCGGAACAGTTTTTGCCAGTGAAAAAGATGATGCTTGCACCAGTTTTTCCCACGTTTTCTCATCATTTCCCATATTTTCCATTATTTTCCAACGTTTTCCATCCCCTTTGGTTTCTGCCCAAGTCCGTTTCCCAGGACGAACTGCTCCACCTTGGCACCCAAGCATGTGGTGGTCCTGCCATCGTCGGCAAGCTCAGTTTTGGGATTGATACCATCCCAAGATGGTAGTTGTTGATGGCAGCCAAGGTTTCCCGGAGGGGCTCAACATTTGCCTCTTTTTTTTTGGGCACTTTCTGGAGAAAGTGGAGGTCGTAAAATCGTCGTTCGTAGCAAGGCGCTGACCCATGTTGCGCATGATCCAGTTCTGAGTCGTAGCCCATCAGGCTCGGGCGAATCATCCTGGCAAGTCGCAGATTGAATTTCTTCGTCCATGGTCCCAGAGATGGCGAGTTGGGCGCCGCAGGTCCTGGTGTCGTGGACGATGTATTTGGGGGATTCAACAGTGCAGGATATGATTCCCACGGGGAAAACTACATTTCGATCCCATCTTATGCAGGGTTGCATGTCAGTCTTCAAGAGGGGCATACCAAATTTCGCGGCCGTGATTGCTTCACGAGAATTGTTTTTTGATCAAACTGAAACATACTAAACTTGGGTAGATAAGGATATATACATGTATATACCATGTATTACCATGTAACTTTTGACCTGTGACACCCTTAGTGCCACTGATGTTGCCAGAAGTAGCGATTCGTGGTTGATTTTAGTAGGTGATTTCACTGCTCAATAGACTGGGACGTATAGAGCTGTTCTTTTTTTAAATCAGTGATCCTAGCCACAAACCAGCTAATTCTCACAACATCTAAGTAATGTATATATAATTAATGACAATATGATCAAGAATTGCTGGTTCTATCCTCTTGTAGTTCTGGCAGCATCTCAGTACCCCAAGGTTTCATATGGTTGATTTCATATGTATAAATTTCGCCAGAAAACTTCGCCATACACTGTGGATGTACCATGGACGCTCCCAAGGACGGCAACGAGCAGGGCTCCATTGCGCTGGGCGCCGCGCCGAGCAAAGAGCAGTTGGCCCTGGCGAAACGTTCGGATGCCTGAGGGATCGAGGACTTGGGGATTTCATGGTTAATAGTGGATTATCTGGTGGATTTAATGGTGGTTTAATGGCTCAACAATGGCTTAACATTGCTGAATCATGGGATGACAATGGGATATACCCTCTGGTAAACGTATAGAAAAAACTCTGGAAAGATCCACCATTTTTGATGGGTAAATCAACTATTTCGATGGGGTATGTTCAATAGCGAACTGTGAAATTACCAGAGGGTAAATTTCATGTAACGAACTGGACAATCACCATTCTCAATAGGTAAATCATCAGTCATCTATAACTGGGCCATTTTTCCATAGCTATGTGAACCAGAGGGATCTGGATGAATTCTAGCGACCTCACAACTATGTCACCACAATGACGGGCCTCATTTCTGATTTGTGAATTATTGTGATAATTCGCCCAGATTGATTCATACATCCCACCAGCCTTCACTACTCAGTTGGTCGCCATGGCCCCGCTTGCAGGTCGCGAGGAAGGCGCTTCTCTGAAAGATCGGGCGGCTCCGCGATGGTCGGGAAGCCACGCGGAGGTGTTGGACCCCCAAAAATGGTGCTTTCACCAACGAAAAAGGGATGATTTGACCAACAGAACTAGATTGTGAATCATGGGGATTGAAGCTAGTATGTGGAGTTTACAATTTCAAATGCACATGAGATGACAGCACAATGACATCACAAGTCCAGGCCAAATTCTTGCAAATAGGCTAGATCATGGGATCAAATCCAGGTTGTACCCTCTGGTAAACTAACGTAGCTATAGAAAATCACCATTATTAATGGGTAAACCCACTATAAATGGCCATTTTCAATAGCTACGTTAAATTACCAGAGGGTACTCTTTGATAGAAAGGTCCGTTCAAAACTGATTTGCTGGACCCCCTTCAGTTACGTATCTGCCTCGAGACTGGGGTTCGCAGCTTCGGAGCACCCTGAGGTGTGGTTTAGCACCCTCCAGAGGCGAACCCTGGGAGTGCAACCCGGTGTAACCGTGTAACCCAACCCAAAAAATCATCAAAAATCACAATGGAAGGTCCAGAAACCAGGCTGGTACTAGTACATGATTTTAAGGACAACCTACGGTGATCTGCAGAGGAACTGCTGATAATGTTCTCCAGGTGTGCTCCTCTCAGCCACAGAAGCAGAGGCAAGGGCCAAGGGGGACGCCAGGAGATTGCAACCGCGATGAGGATTTTTAGGTGATGTGAATAGATAAATAAGAAAATAGATTGATATATATATATCTATACACATACTATATATATATATATACACATACTATTTATATATAATAATATATATATATATATGTATATATAGTATTATATGTTATATAGTAATATACAGGGTCATAAACAGGTATATAAGAACACACACACACATGTGTCAGATGTATCTATTCACTCTTTCAGACTTGGTGGCGTTTTTGGGGTTGATCTCAACTTCTGCCCTGCAGCTGTTTGCTGGGCCAGATGCAAGTAAAAATAAGAATAAAACGACCATGCTGAACATGGTGACTTAATAGTTACATGTTCAATGGTGATCTAATGGTGATTCAATGGTGATTTCATGGCGATTTACAGAGTAACATAGGATATAACCAACCAACCATATCATGATTTGGCTCTGTCTGAAACTAGGGTATATGGTATACTCCGAATTTATGTCCATCTTAAGTAGGGAAAATCATGATCGATCAGTGATCAGTGGATTTTATATCGCTAGTTTTAGAACCACCGCACCACAAAATCTGTTGGAAGCAATCGAGGATCCAGATCCCTCTCCCAGACGTCGATAGGGGATCTGACTACAACCTCTCCATTGGTTTTGACTTCCTGTACCTTCTTTAGAACATTGTTTCAGGAAGAAACTCATCTAATTTTTGGATCACCAATCTTTCAACAATAATTTACCATCACCAAAAAAAAACACTCAGCTTGGTAAAAGCCAACCATCACCTGCAAGCACGCCCCTCCCCACTTAGAAGCTGGTTAAAAACCCCATAGAAGGCTATATATCCGCTACAATCTTCACTTACCTAAAGGCATGTCCATATTTTTTAAAGCTGGTTTATATTCACACATCTACCTATAGTTAGATCTGCCGTCAACCCCAAGTTAACCTAGTTTCAAACCAACTTGGTTAATATAAGTCAATAATAAATCCATATATGTTTGCTGGTTAAATCCAAATTGCTACAGTAATACTTCAGTCCCCATTTTTCATGGTCAAATCCCAATTTTCCATGAACAAAAAAAAGTGAAACCCCTCATTTTCTAGTGGTTAACCCCACCCAAAACTACTACCGCCCCTGGTTCCCCCGGGCCCCAAGCCGTGCCCATGGCGTCCGCCACGGCCGTTTTGCGGTCCCTGCTGCGCCTGGCACACCGTGCGCAGCGTTGCCCTGCAGAGCTGGTGCCGTTGCTGGGCAGTGCGCCGAAGGTGTGGAACTGGGAGGCGCAACCGGGCCGCGGAACCGGGCCCCGGAACGGGGAAGAACTTTGGGGAAGAGGTTTTTGATGGTTTTTGGAGGTTTTAACCATGAAAAATGGGGGTTTTAACATGTTTTAACCATGAACGATGGGGATTTAAGGATGACACATGTGACTTTTTAACTATCAAACAATGGGTGTTTTGACCATCCAACATGTGGATTTCATCGTACGCTGGGGATTTGGGGAGAATTGGGGGCAGACTTAACGATACAAAACATGCTGATTTAAGCATCTAAAATGCTGACCTCACATGATTTATATAACCATCTAAAAATGGGCATGAATGATGATTTAAGAATCCAAAAGGTGAGGAATTCACCATCTAAGATGATCTGCATGAGGGCCTGTTTTTTTAAACACGTTTGCGTGGAATGGCAATGAGCAGCTTGGGTTGCTATTTTTATGCTGTAGGCATAGACACCCAACTTTCTTTATGGGGGTATAATGGGGATATCATGGGATATACAACCAATGAGTACATGGAAATGATCTTGAAATGGAGTTGGGGAGTTTTGGAGCTGGCGTGGGAATTGGGGGTTGAAGCAACTGCCCATCTCTGACATTGAAGGCTTCAATAACATTGAATGACTTCATTTTTTCCATTGCCTGGAAGAAAAACTCCTCATTTGCCCAAAGATCCAGAAACCGCCAATGTTTGTTGTAATAATATATATAATATATAATAATATATATATATATTATCCCATTACATCCCCATCAAATTTCCATGGGATCCTCATTTCAAATTCCCTCAACCACAGCAGCCCTCCAGGAGAAACGTGTGGTGGTGCCGCCCCAGAGGCCCTTCATCTGGTGCGACGAGCTGCTTCGGAGCTGCGCCAATGCTACGGAGTATTCGCTGCCAGTGGCGGACCGGAGGTCTTTGAGGCCCTGGTGGATGCGCTGCATTTTACGGTTTGGGGGCACCAAAAGCCATGTGATTTAGATGGAAAATAAATTGACTTTAGTGCGAAAAGATGGTGGATAGCAGATTTTGATGTTTGGCGTATACCATTTTAGAACCATAGTCGAGTTTCTTTTTGAGTGTTTCAGTGGGCAGAAATGTGAGAACCTCGTGAAACATATTGGACATGAACTGGTACGCTAAAAATGGGAGAGTCTGAGAGGTGACGCGAAAAATGTGGGGCTGTTTCTGTTTTTCTGGAGCACCTGGGCAGGGAGGATGGTGGTCTCCCTTTAGAGATGGGAAACTAAAGACCCAAGACCACACTGGCCATGTCCAATGCAGCGCACTGAGTTCTGTGCCATTTTGGCTGCACTTCAATGGAGTTCTTCCAAGCGTCACCCTTGATGGTTCTTCGGTGATGGTCTTTCCCATATGGGGGTTTCCTAAAATGGGAGTACCTCATCCATTTTGATAGGATTTTCCATGAAATAAACCGTCCAGCTATGCTACCCATTTGTAGACCATATGAGGAATCTCTGTGATACTGATGACATTTTGGCCCCATCCTTTAAGGGAGTTGAATCATGTTGAATCAGTTGAATGACCGTGAGCCGATTCGCCGATGCAGGGCGGTTCGCAAGCACTGGCATCTATGCCATAGCCTGGGTGTTCCATACGTGCCGCAGGCTGGACATTGGGTCTGAGGGTCTGAACATTGGGTACCCAAACATGGCCATAGTTAGTATGTTCCCTAGTATTTGATGATTTGATGGCCATAAATGGTATACCAAGCAGTTTTTGGACAGACCCAAAAAAAGTTGGTGTTTAGACATGATTTGTCCATACAAACATTCACAGTCATTCACATCATAAAGCTATTCCGCATAACAAACACCCAGAAATTTGATTATGCACAGATGCACTCTGAAATAAATGGTTTCAGCGACATCGAAGATTAGCATACCCGGTCACAGGTGTTTTCTGATTTTGAGCTCCGTTCACCAAATATGACATGGCATGAGGTTGTTTTTTTTTGAATAACTGACGAACACCGAACAAAAGGTTCCGTTGCCCACCCAAATCGGAGCAACACAGATTTCAGATGGGAGAATGTGATTTACCGAGGCGCTCATAAACCCAACCTTCTAAAATAATTGCAGAGATTCCTGTGTAAAATGAGTCATTGGTTTCATTTCATGCGTTTTTTTCCGTGTAAATACGAGAGGTTTTGTCACTGTCCAGACATCATTCTAGATCTAATCCCAACGATTGGAGAAGAATCCTATGTCTACAACAGCATCGCACCTCCATACCATTTGGCCATCGGTTTTTCTGTGGCCATGATGTGAAAGGGGTCGCATCGACTTCAAACCCATAGGAATGATGCTGCCGCGAAAAAGGTTGATGTGACTAAAGGCCTTCACAGTACTTTCTGGGAGCATCCTCACAATCTGCTTCACAACATGACTGGGGCAGTAACGCATCGTTTCAACATCCGGGAGAGTCACTGGGCACAGTCATGCTGATGGCACGCTAGCAGTCACAATACTCCGTGTTATATATAGCCACAAGATGCCACAAGTATATAAATCTATCTATGGCTGTGTATAACAGATAGTTGTGGATAGTATAAACACTATTGCATATTGCTTAGTTACAGCAATAGCCATGTTCTATGGCTAGTTATTTGTACATCCATTTTTCAGCAAGCAGATATACCTTCTGTAGTCAAACATAGCTGGAATATCCGGAGGGTAATTCAACTTTTGACTATGGTTGGCTATCCGAATCCCGTTTACATCCCACTAAATTCCATCTAAAACCCATAAACCACCCATATAAATCCCATATAACACCTATATATATAATATATATATATACATATATATATATATATAACCCATCCATCCCCGGCGCTTGCCCAGGCTCAGGAGGCGCTGGAGCGCTGGCGGAAGGCAGCAGCCATGGCGGAGAAGCTGAGGCCGGTGGAGTTTTTTTTTGTCAGGGACTGAGGCTGTCAATGTCAGGTTATTATTTGTTATTAACCATTCATATGATATGATTCATATGTTTATTATAACTATTATAGTTATTAACCATTAGTAGTTGTTATTATATAACCATTAGGTTATGATAATTATTAATATTTGTAACTGATGGTTGATTACCCATGAATATGTTTATTATAACTATTCTAGCTATTATAATTATTATTTGTTATTAACCATTCATGATATAATTAGGCCATAATTAGGCTTATCAACCACCATAATTGATGATATAAAATGTTTGAAAATGGGCTACAATCAGCATGGATTAATGTTGAAATGATTCAAAAGGAAATCACAATTTTTGATGGTAGAGTCACCATTTCCCATAACTTTCCCACTATATTCCCATGAGATCACAATTATTGATCGTAGAATGAGCATTTCCCATTATATTCCCATTTAAGCAGCACTTTTCATGGGTAAGTCATGTGAATCATCTATCAATGGGCCATGTTTACCATAGCTAAACCCTAATTATGAACTATTATTTACAATGATTAACCAGATGGTATTTCGCTTATACCGCCATTTTTTCATGGTAAAATCAGCATTTCCCATCATTTTCTCATTCTTATTCCAATTGTCTTCCCTGTAATTATTCATTATTCATCCATTATTGTTCATTATTTTCCATTATGAACCACCATTAACTATTATTTACCACGATTCGCCAGAGGCAGAGGGTAGATGGTTTATAAGCCATTCAAAAAACTATGATTAAACCACTATTCCCATGACATTCATTCCGATTAAATAACCATTTTTTGAGAGATTTTTTATCAACACCTCCCATAAGATTCTCGTGATTATCCAATATTCCCATGATATTGTTGGCTGTTTTCCCATGATCTTCCCATGATCTTCCCATGATCTTCCCATGATCTTCCCATAATTACTCATTATTCATCCATTATTGTTCATGATTTTCCATTATCAACTGTTATTAACCCATGATTTTCCCATGATATTCGCATGATGTTCTTCTGGCGCCAGGCAAAGTGACCATCGACACGAGCTCTCAGAGGCCCAGGTCATGGCAGCCAGGTGCGGGGGATGTTACCATCGATGGCCGCGATTTCTCCAGCTTTTTAAGGTGAAAAGAAATATGAACAAAATAATATGAATGGAATATGAATGGAATATGAGTGGAATATGAATGGTATATGAATAAAATATGAATGGAATATGAATGGAATATGAGTGGAATATGAATGGTATATGAATAAAATATGAATGGAATATGAATGGAATATGAGTGGAATATGAATGGTATATGAATAAAATATGAATGGAATATGAATGGAATATGAACAAAATAATATGAATGAAATATGAATGGAATATGAATGGAATATGAATGGATGAGTGGAATATGAATGGAATATGAGTGGAATATGAATGGTATATGAATAAAATATGAATGGAATATGAATGGAATATGAGTGGAATATGAATGGTATATGAATAAAATATGAATGGAATATGAATGGAATATGAACAAAATAATATGAATGAAATATGAATGGAATATGAGTGGAATATGAATGGTATATGAATAAAAAATGAATGGAATATGAATGGAATATGAACAAAATAATATGAATGAAATATGAATGGAATATGAGTGGAATATGAATGGATGAGTGGAATATGAATGGAATATGAATGAAATATGAATGGAGTATGAATGGAATATGAATGGAATATGAACAAAATAATATGAATGGAATATGAACAAAATAATGTGAATGAAATATCAACGGAGTATGGGTGGAATATGCATGGAATCCAAAGGAAATATGAATGTAATATGAATGGATGAGTGGAATATGAATGAAATATGAATGGAGTATGAATGGAATATGAATGGAACATGCATGACATATGAATGGAGAACAAATGGAATAGGAATGAAATATGAATGGAATATGAATGGAGTATGAAAGGAATAGGAATGATCTATGAATGGAGTATGAATGGAGTATGAATGGCATAGGAATGGAATACGAATGAAATATGAATGGAATATGAAAAGAATATGAGTAGAGTGTGAATGGAATATGAATGGAATATGAATGGAGTATGAATGGAATATGAACGAAATATGAACGGAGTATGAATGGAATATGACTGGAATAGGAAAAACATATGAATGGAATATGAACCGAATATGAGTGGAGTGTGAATGGAATATGAATGGAATATGAATGGAGTATGTATGGAATAGGAACGAAATATGAATGGAGTGTGAATGGAATATGAACGGAATATGAATGAAATATGAATGGAGGAAAAATGGAATATGAATGAACTATGAATGGAGAAAAAACGGAATAGGAATGAAATATGAATGGAATATAGAGGGAATATGAAAGGAATAGGAATGGAATATGATGGAATATGAATGACATATGAATGGAATATGAGTGGGGGATATGAATGGAATTTGGATAGAATATGAATGGCATAATAATGAAATATGAATGGAGAAAAAATGGAAATATGAATGGAGTATGAATGGAATATGAACGAAATATGAACGGAGTATGAGTGGAATATGAATGGAATATGAATTAGATATGAATGAAATATGAATGGAATAGGAACGAACTATGAATGGAATATGAATCGAATATGAATGGAATAGGAATGAACTATGAATGGAATATGAATGGAATAGGAATGGACTATGAATGGAGTGTGAGTGGAATGCGAATGGAATATGAATGGAATATAAACGGAATACGGATGGAATATGAATGAAATATGAGTGGTATATGAATAGAGTATGAACGAAATATGAATGATATATGAATGGAATATGAGTGGAGTGTGAATGGAATCTGAACGGCATATGAATGGAATATGAGTGGAATATGAATGGAATATTGGTGAATACCAACAACTATTATCCCCTCCCACTGGATGAGTAGTAGATATACCCTCCGGTTCAGCACACCATGTACCCGGTTACGGGAGGGTAAGCCAGGGGGTTCAATGGAGTATATCGCAGGATATCCATAAGTAACCATAGAATATATGATTGGAGTGTGTCGGAACCTGGGGTATGACTTTTCATGAGGATATACCCCCGAGTTATGTAGCGCTGAGTCATATTTTTTCGGCATACTGGAGGATACGAACACATTTTTTGGGATCAACAATTGGGGATTTGGGTTTCTCCATGTCGATCGGGTATACCCCCAAGAAAAATGGTCCTTGTCGATGGGGAAAATGATGATGAATCATCAAACTGCGTGCACCACATTTGCAGACAAAGCCAGCTGGAAAGCAACAATGAAATGATACCAACAATGGGAAGATTAGTCCAGCAGTAATCCAACCACCGGAAATTAATCAACTAGGATGTATAAATCCAGGGTTTACAATACTCGTAGATCTGTAATTTGGAATCATGAACAATTAATGTATGTTAGAGGTTTCAATTGAATCACAGCGGCAGATCCGTTGGGTTCTGTGCCGATCTTCTTTTTGCATTGTTAAAACCTCTGGGTCCATGACATGCAACTCCTTTGAACGGCCTGTTGGTGAATTTCCCAGGGGTCCTTCCAGAAATACGGTACATGTTACATGTCAAAAGGTACTTCTTATGTCATATGTGTGGATCTATAGATGATAGAGAGAATAACAGCAATAACAACAATGATAACAACAATAGCAATACCACTATCTAATATATATATACATACATACATACATACATGCATACATGCATACATGCATACATGCATACATGCATACATGCATACATGCATACATGCATACATGCATACATGCATACATGCATACATGCATACATGTGTATATATTATCTTTGTGGCATTTTTCATCTGAAAAGATAGGTCTTGGGGGGTACTATATACATATATATATACACACATGCATACCTAATATCCTCATGTCTACTTCAACATCTACAATACTACGTGAATGCCATTTAGCTCCCCCCAGGAAACTCCTTTCGCAGGTGGCGCTTGACTTGGTGTGCACCAAGTGAAGACCACCAGGCTGAGGCCGGATGACTGGATTTCACCCTTTTCCCCAACATGGCGATCTGCTGATTGATGCTGATTGATGCTGGGTTTTTAAATATCATCTGCTGATGTTTTTGAGAGGATTTTTCTGCTGATTTTGATGCTGATTTTTTTTAAACAAGTGTCGAGTTCGAGGTGGGGGACGTGTTGATGACGCATCCTCTCTCGGGACTCTTTCAAGAAGTGCCGCTGGGCTCAATTTCTATGGAGTCAATTACCCTCTGGTGAACTAACATAGCCATTACAAATTGCCATTGATAGTTGATTTACCCATTAAAAATAGTGATTTCCCATAGTTATGTTAGTTTACCAGAGGGTAGAGATAGATCGTGGTAGATCATGGAAACATCAAGAAACATCAAGAAACAATTAGAAGTTGTGGCACTCTATCAAAGGGTTAAGTCTGAGTACGCTATTGAAAGTATATTATGGACATGGGGCAGACTAGTGTCAACCCAGGATTTGAAAAACTCTGGGCTGATTAATTGATGGGGTACCATTTTAGTATCAGATGGGGGTACCCCCTATTTAATGAACCAGGGTCTATTAATCCGGGGTTGACAGTATTCTGAAATGCTGGTCTTGGTCTCATTGTTTTTGTGTGATTCCAAGGTACGACCAAGCTGTTCTTTTGGTGGTGGAAAGCAATCAGGAGAATGGGGCACCCCTGCTAGGGCCCGTTCCTGTGCCGAGCCCTATAGGGTAGCTCTAAATCCCTTGGTTCACCATCCATTTTCCCAACATCAAATGGTCTGTCTGATGGCGGTTTGCCGGTCAGTGTGACCTGTTTGCGGTCAGTGTGATGGCAATCCCGGGCCCGGCTGACTTTTCAGGCTTCTTTCGGATTCTTTTGGATTCTTTTCACTTCAACTTGTGAAAATTCAATTTTCGAGGACACTCCAATAAAATTGTAAGAGTTTCATAGTGTCGCGCACACGCAAGATCGTCAAACTTGAGGGGAACAGAATTGGGGCCATGCTCACTGAACCCCCCTTGAGAGCGCCACACAGCATCACAAATGCGAGCAGGCAGCGTCTCACCATATGCTCGGTTTGTCCCCAAATGGGGTATATAACCTCTGGTAATTTAGCATAGATATGGAAAATTGCCCATTTGTGGATGATTCATATTGACTTGGCTATTAGAATGGGTGATTCTCATTATTGTTAAATTATCAGAGGGTATAATCCATTCATGTCCCATTCAATCACCATTTTTAGCACTTAAATCACAATTTCCCATAGGAAATAGAGAGGCTATACCCCCCAAAAATGGCAACGTTTGGTAGATCTTCGTTCGGTTCCCTATGAAATGGGACCAATCCTTCCAGCGCAGGAGGAAGGATTGGTAAAGGCTTTGATCCTGAACAAGGCACGGGGCGAAGGGAGCGAACGGGCGAAGCTGCGGCGAGAAGCTGCACATTGTGATTGGTGTGTGAGCCAGTTGACATAAGGGTTTAAGTGATTTGACCATCTAAAATTGAGATATAATGTGGGTAAAACAATGCCATTTGCACCATCCCCCAGTCATCACCATTTTTATATTTATAGGTGGTATGGTTACCATTCCCAGTCATGGGTGTTTATGGCATTGTTTCACCCACAAATCACCATTTTTATAGGTGGTTTATTGCACCATTCCCAAATGGGTGGCTTATTATTCTGGTTGGTGGTTTGGAACATTTTTTTATTTGTCCATCTATTTTGTAATAATCATCCCAACTGACTAATATTTCTAATATTTTTCAGAGGGGTTCAAACCACCAACCAGTATTGTTTTACCCACATTATATTAGGAATACAACCAGTGATGTGGTTCAGTATCCCGGAGATTTTTCAGAAACGATGTCAGAAAGCACCAAAGCAAGCTGCTGACTCCGTCCTGGCCCATGACGTTTCCCACAGTTTCCTCACTTCAAAATGGGGAGATGCCCAGTGAAACATGGGATAAACATGGGATAAACCCTTCGCCCCAAAAATCATGGTCCCAATTATGTGGATTTTCCCTACATCCACCATGGTTTCGTTTCGTGGGTGCTTCATAGGATCGGGGGGACCAAGGACTCAGGAGAAACGCTGGCGCAGCGGAAGACCCTGCCAAGGCGCTACTTGGAGATCGATCTGCGTAACACGTTATTTATATATGCTATTATATATATATAATCATAATGTATATATATATATACGCATGGTCGATAACTAGGGTTTCACTATGTTTAACCAAGACAGATAAAAAGGGATTTATAGGTGAGTCATGTTAGCCATGTTGGTAAACAACACATCCAACAAACTGCTGGGTTGCAAAGGTAGATACATCGAACTAGTCATTGGGGTTATAAGAAGTTTTACTGTAAGTTATAAGTTAAAATCCAAACATATTGCAATGATAGAAACTCAAGGCGTTCGTTTACTATACCCAGTCGTCAGCTATTTGATTTTGAGTGCTTAAACTGCTGTCAGATGCACGTGTGGCCTGGTGACTCGTTTTTTTTCCGAAATCTCGAGGTACAGCGATATTTTTGGTCACCATCTACTTATGGTACCATCTGAGCTGGAATGGCTATAATGGATGTTTTTTTTTTATTTTTTATTATTTGATTCCATCTACTTTGGTATAATGGGTATAATGGGTATAATGGGTATTTTGGTCACCATCTTATGGTACCTTTAGCCATAAGATGGGTATCATTTTTGTATTTTGGTCACCATAATTGGTATTTTATATACCCATTACACCCATCTATTTTGGTCACCCATTTGGTCATCTTTTTGCTCAAAAAATGGGTGTAAAAAATGGGACCATCTCACCCAGATTGGTCGACTCTCAAGGGGTAGCGTGAAGTTGGTGAACGAGCCAGTCTATCAAGGCAGGGTTTCTTCGCAGAAGATCCAGTGGTGGTGATACTGTGGAAGAAATATGAAGAAATCCTGCACCAGTTGGTAAATGGTTTATTGAGTTAGAATCCCAGTATTTGCAGTGTTTCATAGTTTTTCGGTTATACCAACTGGTGCAGGATTTCCCAGCCATCCTAACTGTATCTTTCCAACAGCTCGCAGATGTGCACAGTGCAGGGTGTCTCTTTCTGACATGGACAGATAGCTAGTAAACTAAGGATGGGCATTTGCTTTCTCTCTTCGTAATCCTCAATATCCTCATCCTCAACCTCCTGCTCATCATAATAGTAAAGTGAAAAGAACACAATAACAACTACACTGCGCTTTGATAATTGAATATAGCGATGGACATGGCTAGTTTGTAGATGGTTTACCTATTTAGCATGGTGATTTTCAATTGCCAGAGGGTAATCTGCCCACAGATTGGGCTCAGCCTGAATCTGTGTAGGTGGTCCTGTAGATGTTGCGGAGCTTTGGTGGCTGCATAGCAACTTGCTGGGAAAAATTAACGACTGAACATTGTGAAAAACATGCGAAAACTCGTCCTTGTATTCCGAGTTTTTTCACACATGATTCCAATATGGCTTTGTATGAAGATTCTCATGATTTCCAGAAACGTCGCCATAACTGGGCGTATACCTCATATTTTCAGACCTATCTATATATTATAGATATTCCAATGAATGATGTGGAATCATTTTCCATTGAATATAGATATCTCCAGTATATTTTTTCCACTCCATATAGATTCATAGATATATCCACAGACATATCCAATATGTCCACTTATATATCATATATATATATATATCCAGATGAAACTGATTCATAGATATTCCACTCCATATAGATATTCAATTAACCATCAATCATCATTAGAATTCATTAAAAAAAAAACATTCAACAATCATTAACCCTCCTAAAAACCATCATTAACCCTCGTTAGGAACTGGTTGGTGGTTTGGAACATGAATTTCATTTTTCCATCTATTGGGAACGTCATAATCCCAACTGACGAACTCATATTTTTCAGAGGGGTAGGTCAACCACCAACCAGAGAACCATTATTAACCATCATTAACCCTCTGGTAAACGTTTACATAACTATGGAAAACCACCATTTTCTAGCTGTTTAAATCAATTATTTCTATGGCCATTTTCACCTGGTCAACGAATGTCAACGACTGTTGAGAACTCTTAGGTGCCAGCACCGATGAACTGCTCCGCGAGGGCGCCACTTCGCGGCTGGGCGAAATAAAACGAGTTGAATCATGTAGAACATCATCAGCATCAAAGATATGGTATAAGAACTATTTGATGCTAGTTTAATGAGCATCAAACGTGTCGACAGGGCGCGAGTTCAGCTAGTAATTTAGCTAACTGGGGATGATGTTCACTAACTCTTGAGGAAACTTCATAAACCATATATTAACCATATACTAACCATATTAACCATCATATTAAGCATATGCCATATATTAACCATCATATTAAACCCCAGTCATCCAGTGAACATTACGCAATTTAGCGCAATGGGGGCCCCACCTCGCAATCCAAGCGTCGGATGAATATCAATCAACTTAGCTCACCTAATGAAAGCGCCTTGTAGAAATGAAAAATTGTGGCTGTGGTTTATGAATAAACCGAGCCAAACTACAATAGTGATTATAATCACAAAATTAAACCCATATTTAGTGGATAATAATAATTATTATAGAATACTTAAAGCAATCTTAGTTTGTTAAAGCCTAAATTACAATAATAGTAAAACTCCTAAATTACGACGTGGATGATAACAAACCATCCCCATGGTACTGCCTGGAGGATAATCTTCCTTAGTAGACGGTTAATAAGCCTAGTTGGGTATGGGTCAAAAAGTCAAAAGGAATATATAATGATCCTATTTTTTTACAATCTTCTTATCCAATAATTATCTTGATTATCCCAATGGATGTTATTATCTATTATCCCTTTATCTAATTATTATCCAATATTATCCTATGCAGGGTTAGGTAGGTACCCCCAACAATGGATGGTAAAGTAGACGAACATCTGTGGTCCCCTTCGATTTTGACCCATCCGTCCCCATAAAATTATTGGGTTCTAGCCCCACGACCACTAACCAGTTACCCTCTGGTAATGGAACAGTTTGCAAACTTGAAAATTCCCCATAGAAATAGTTGATTTACCTCTTCAAAATGCTGGTTTTCCATTAAACATGGTGATTTACCTATGAAACATGGTGGTTCCCATAGTTTTTCATATTAAAAATCAGTTCGCTATGTTGGCTAAACCAAAGGGTATGATTCGTGGGATTCTTCAAGTGGTAGGCTGCATGATCCCGGCTTTGAGGTTGCGCCTAGGGCTGGCCATGGGTGGAGAACTGCAACGAATCAGCAGCAGTTCCGTGCGCTTCTTTAAGGACAGGATCTAGGTCAATCGGTCAATGGATGGCTAGTTTAATCCTTCAGTCTTTTGGTATCAATGGGATTATCTACTACTTAAACTACTACTAACCAGCTAAAAAAAAAGCAGGGTATCTAAGATTGGCACTGGGATGGGGAAATTCCAAGCTGAGCAGTTTCAACCACCGATGGGGATCCGACTGGGATTTTGTCACAAAGCCAGCCGAGAAAATCAGCCAGTTTCAGTCTTTGGTCATGAAACATGGCAATGATCAGTCACCTATGTCTGATCATTTTCCCATCTAAATTTCCCATTGATATAGGATTTTCAATTGCCATGTTCGATGAACAGATTGTATTGTCAAGTAGGTGGGTTATATACAGGTTGCCAACCACATTTCTGCGATCATCGAAACTTGAACAAACTGCTGGAGCAAAACGAGTTCGAGTTTTACACTCGTCATTTTCAATGGGCAAAAGCCATGGTGAACGGTTGGTTTTTCCCAATTCATGGGTGTGTCTAAGGATGTTTGAAGGTGTTTTTTTCTGATTTTCCCAATGGGAAATCCACTACGACTGGGGAATCTATAGTTTTTTTTTCTTCCGTGATGAGACACTGCATCTCACCAGTGACATGGACTATGCTTGTTTGGGGACATTCCCACATCATTTAGGGTAGGTGATAACGACCTCAGCATACCGGGGTTGGTTTGTGACGAACCTTGCCAAATACCAAGGTCATTTCCAGAGTTTCAGATTTTCAGACTATGCAAAGGTGGGAATTTCAGGACCCTAAAATGGAGATACCTTACCTAAGGCCTATGTAAAGGCTAAATTTCAGGGGATAAACCTCGAATTTCTATAGCATCTGGTACAGTACCTCCAGTTTAGGTACCTGAAATGGCCATTGATTCTATATATCACCATCAGAACCCCTAATTTCTGTTGGCTAACCCCTCCATTCCCCCAGGGTTGCGCCGCATGGGCGACGGAACAGCTGCAAACCGAGCTGCAACGTGGCGTTTGGGTACATGCTCGACCAGGTCCAGATGGGCTTTGGAGCTTGGAACTGTGGCCGTGGCCTATTTGGTTCGATGATTTAGCTATTATATATATATAATATATAATATATAATATAATATATATATATATTTTTTATAATCATAATAGATAGATAGATTAGATAGATAGATAGATAGATAGATAGATAGATAGGATAAGATAAGATAAGATAAGATAGATAGATAGATAGATAGATAGATAGATAATCTGGATTTGCTGAAGGTGATCTTGATTTTCCTAGTGGTTACTTCATCAAAACTGGGGATTTGCCCGCAAGCAAAAGATACCACATGCGGACTGGTCAGACTGGCATCAGCCACACCTGCACCGAAGCGGTGGAGAAATTCAAGACTGTCAGGGCTCCTGTGCCTGGCTTACACACGCTTCAACTACCGTACCTAGTCAAAATATCATCTCCAGACATGAGTCGAAAATATCAGATGATCATGATGATCTTCATCTTTAACCATGGATTGGCGGGAAAGAATTCACGTAAAGCCCTGGCTGATCTTCCAGGCTTTCATCGCGGCGGTCGAGAAGCCCTGCATCAACTGGCACTGGAGGTGGAGGGGGCGCCATGGGTGGCCCATTGTTGGGGGCCTGAGAATTGGTGTCCATGAATTATATGTATATATATATAATATGAAGCATTATGGTTCATTATCCCTCCCACATGAGTAATAGGTGGTGTATATATATATATATAATGGCATATGATATACTGGGTATATGGATAATTATATTGGAATATTATATCATGTGGGTAAAACAATGCCATAAACCACCCATGACTGGGAATGGTAACGTAACCATAGCACATATCAATAAATGGTGATGACTGGGGGATGGTGCAAATGGCATTGTTTTACTCCCATTATATATCTAATACTATCTGGGTAAATTATAATGAGTTATAATGACCTCATGCAGCGACCGAACCATGGAATGATGATTAGATATGATAATTGTTTTGGGAATCAGCCCCAAATGACCTTATTTCAAGTCAGTGAATTATTGTAATTTACCCAGATACTATGTAGTGGTGAGTAATTTGGATTATTCCCTCTGGTTGTCTATGGGATAGAATAACCAGTTACTATAAGGGTTCGTATCCAATATGAATAAATGGCGAGTGTTAATGGCATATGGAAATATGAAATATATAGTGATTTAATGGGATATGAATGGATGATGAAACACCCTTGGTTATGACTAACAGTTTGCGAACTGGTATAAATCACTATTTTATAGACAGGTAAATTTAAATCATGTTTCCCATCTATTTTTATCTGCCATAGCTGACCAATGGTCATATCCATTAATAGTGGTTAATATTAATGGTTACTGGAATGGGTTAATATTCACGTATATTAATAGCTGACCTATCAATGAATGATAGTTTATACCCATTGATAGTGGGTGAAAAACAATGAAGTGGTTAATCATTGGATAATTGATCATCCGTTTCCCCTAATATGAAACAACCCGATACAACAAATTAGCCCAATACTGATATCTTTTTGTATGGGTGCCCAACATTCCAATGTTTTGTGGGTTGTATTCTGTTGCAATTATTCCCTCATTCCTGATAAAGAGTAATCGGGTTCTCAGTCAACCAGTAGATGTATAGTCCCAGAATTGCATGGTGAGAAAGGTGGCAGGAACCTGCTACATCTAGGGTAAAACGGCTAAAGCAACATTGTTTCCTGCAGTTTTTCCCTGAATCCAACCCAAATGATATTAGTTTACCTCCTAGAAAACTATTTTCATTGAGAAACTATTTACCTCCATGAAATTAGTAGTGAATAGGATGTCAAAATAGAGCAAAACAACTCCAAGATGTCATAGAGGATAGCTACACCAGTTCCATTCGGTCTCCGACTTTCCCATCCGGGGGTTGCATAGCCATAAGGTGGTGCTTTAGTTACCCTCTCGTAAACTAACAGCTGTTGATCACCATTTTTAGTGGATAAATCAACTATAAATGGCAATTTTCAATAGCTATGTTAAATTACCAGAGGGTATTATTTTCTAAATAGCCCCCATCTAACTATAGATATTTGAGACATCATAATTTTATCAAAACTGTTATCCACCTTTTCAAACCCCTCTTGGCCTACTTATTTCAGCCAACTTCGCACTGGTGGATGGTTTCAAAGATGTCTTATTTTCAACCATAGAAATGTGATGATGATCCCCAATGACGAGCCTTTTTTTATAACCCGGGGTGGCTCAACCAACAAAGCAGATCATCTGGATAGATCAATGCGCAAAAAATGTTTCGAAATCCTAGAATCCTAGAACAACTCAACACACTTGACATTCAATTCAGTATTTCTAACTCCACAAATGTGCCATTCAGTAGATATGTCTACCCTCTTATCATCCAACTGATTTCTAAGATCTACTCTCCTGTAGACAACGAGATGTGGAGTTTTACCCACGATGAACGTAGATCATTTTCCTACTTCGGGGTGCAGTTAGTTCACTAACTGTTACTGCAATTCCAAGAACATCCAGTTTTTTAAAGCAACCTTTTGTAAACTTTTTAAGAGATGTGGAAAACCCACCATTTGTTATCCATTACTTATGACTTCAAATCATTTGTCCACGTAGATCACCTTTTTTTTACGGCACTTCCAAGTAGCAAAAACCACCATTTTTATCCATGGACTTAGATCATTTTCCCCTAAGTCCTAAGTATATATATATATATAGATAGTTTTTTTTTTCCAGCTATAAACCTCCATTTAGTTCAGGAATTTCCCAGGTTTACCCTAGATAACACCGCCATTTATAGATTAGTTTCCTAGCATTTTCCCATTAAACTCTCCATTTTCCCAGCATTTTCTCAGCATTTTATCATGAAAACCGTCATTTTCCTCGCCCAAAAGCCATGGCTTTTCCACGCCTCTGGTGGCAATCCAAAGTATCGGCCAGGCCCGTGGCGCGTCAGCCTGGCGGGCCGCGCTGCTGGCGACCAACCTGCCAGCGTTGCTGGGATTTCAACCGCAGGTTATATAGGTTAGTTATATATATTATTATATATGTAATATATATAGTATATATGGGATATATGATATATGGGATATATGTTATAGTGATATATGGAATATATATATATACACCCTCTTGTTATTTAACATAGCTATTGAAAATGGCCCATTTATAGATGATTTTCCCATTAAAACAACCATTTATAAGGGATTTTCCATGGCTATGTTAAACAACCAGAGGGTATGTATATATATATAGACATATATCTGATAGATTATATGATTAATATGATTATCTTACTACTTGATATAGATCTACCCGTTCATATCCATCTTATCTGATTTCGTCTTATTCTACGTATCTATACATCTATGTCTATCTCTATCTATCTCTACCTATCTCTATCTATCTCTATCTATCTAGCTACCCAGCCAGGTAGCTGTCTAGCTATCTATCTATTTATCTATCTATCTCAATCTAAATCTAAATCTAAACATCTAAACCTAAACATCTAAATCTAACCTAATCTATCTATGGCCGACCTCCAAAACAACCCCACAACATCGTTTGTGGTACACATGGACTGTCGCCAAGGGAAATGCAAGTAGAACTTAAAACATCCCAAATGACTTTCATTCTAAGCACTTTGATGATTTTCATTCTAAGCACTCTGGTTCTTGTCATCCCAGCCACAGTTCTATGAAATTCTGACCCGTTCAGGTTGGCGGAATTTCCTCGTGGCCATGATGTGGACACGATGTTGCAGGAATCCACTTGCCGGAAGCACGTACGGTGCTACAGTGGTCAAACACCTTTCCACATAGATGGGTTTGGTACCTGAAAATGATGGAAGAATGGGGAATTTGATGGGTAACATAGGGTAATTAATGTTTATTTGATGGGTATATCCCGATATTCTGACAAACTCATTCAGCATTTCACATTGGAAGATATCCACCATGATTAACTAAAAAAAAACAAAAACCATCATGTTCGCGAGGTATTGTACTTTCCGGATGCTTGGTACGACAGACATACGGCGACAAAATGTTGCTAGTTCGGCCTGGGCAGCTATGTCCCTAATTGAAGATCTAGAAATCAGCCAACATCATATCTAGATATGTCATAAACATGTTATCTGATACTATACCTAGATATGAATATCTAGTGGTATATCGAAAAAATTGGATATGGAAATATTGTACATCTAGTGGTATATCAAAAGTATTGGATATGGAAATATTGAACATCTAGTGGTATATCAAAATTGAATATCTAGGTCATTTTTACCACTTTTGATGGTGGAAAACCATACTTTTACCACTTTTGATGCTGGAAATAGCAACAACATTCCATGGAGTCTTCGCAGGAGTATGTCACTACGCACCAGCGGAAGATGGCCATGGAACTCCTGCAAAAAGATGGCCAGTTTCGGCAGAAACCAAGGGGATCTTAAGCTTACAGTGGGATTATTGGGATATATATATATACAAATTATATATATATATATTATATATATATGTACAAAGACCCAGTATACATACATATATATATATTCTAATGAGTTTTACCCTCTGCAAATTGTGATATCCTGGATAGACAACGGGTATATTTATGGAATATATCAATGGAATATTGGTTAACAGCCTCTGGAAATCAAGCGTGGCTTGCTGGACAAAAATCACTCATGTATAGATGCTTTTCCAGCTAGAAACTCCCATTGATAGGGGATTTTCCAGCCACGTTTGATGACACCAGAGGGCATTAAAAAGGATCTCCCCAGTGGTAAAACGGGATGATTTTCAGCACAAACCGGTTTCTGGGATGGGACTAACAGAACTATGGAAGCCATGGCCCATAGAAATAGCTGATTTGCCTATTGTCAATGCTGATTTTCCAGTTTGCTATGTAAACGTTTACCAGAGGGTAAGAGGCAAAGACAAGGAGGTGGAATGCCGCCCAGAAAGGGTTGGAGCTGGTGCGGTTGAGAACTTGGGGTTTGGAACCACATAGAACCACAACGCTGCTTCAACAGAATCATGAGCATGAAGTGGGTGTGTCTGAAAAGGGGGTATACCTCCCACATAGCCATTTTCATAGAGAACATGTTGAGAAAATGATGATTCACCTGTGGAGTTAGGGGCACCCTATTTTCAGACAAACCCAAGTAAAGTCAATGATTCCGCCAAGCATGATGAGATTATCTTTAAAGAATCCCTATTGTCCCAATTTTGTCTTGATACACCATAAATTCAGGATGGTCTATGATCATCATTGTCCATCATCATCCTACGCTCTGCACTCGACATGGGTGATAAATTTCTGGCGGCCTGGCTGAGCCGCCAGGTGCGCCTACACGGCCGCATTTGTCCCAGTCAGTGGGCGCGCTCAGGGAGGATTTCTCTGAAAATCATGAGATGAACCCGATGATGAACCCTGCGAAATCCATGGTTTCATCATCATTTTCCCTCGAAACTTACCTATATACCAACAATTTAACATAGCTATAGACAATTCTCCATTTATAAATATGATTTTATTTAGGTTGATTTACGTATTGAAAATGGTGCTTTTCCAGTTTGCTACATTGCCAGAGGGTGAGATGCCCCCCATTAAGCAACGGCACCGTTTCAGGATGATGTTTTGGGGACAACGGGACAACGGGACAACGGGAGGTGACTCCAGTGGTAGTGGATATGGTTGTCATCGAAACCTTCACTGGACCTCACCAACGAGGCATGAATTTGAGAACTCCGGAGCGTTTTGAGAAGCCCAAAGCCGATAGCTCCTACTTAAAATGTTTTTTTTTCACAATTTCCAGGCACGTTTCACCAAGCATTTCTATTTTCCTGTGGGTGTCCCAGCTTTTTTTGGGAAACGCCATGGGAAATCCGCATTTTTTTTCAGGTCCAAGGTGATCTTCCAAGCGCCGGAGGGAGATTCCATCAGTGCAGCGGCTCAGATTTTCGTCGGTGACAGGCGGATTTTTTTTCAGAAAACCCAAAATGACTGGGGAAATTCTATACATTTTTTGACATTTTTTTGGGAATATGATGTTTTATATTTTTGTTTTGAGACCATAACTGGATCAAAGAGTTGCAATGATTGACCCGCGGCGACCATTTGTCAATGTTCTGATGTTGCCCTGCAGCATATGATATCTTCCGGACGTGAAGCAATTCAGGCTTGGAGGTACGGAAATTAAGATGAATGGTGGAATCTTGTAAGAAAGTGATGGACCCCACAAATCAAGCTGATGAATTTTCGGTACAGAAGCACTTTCTCAACATTTTACGCCCCTCAACTGATGAGTTTTTTCCCAAGTCAACCCAAATCCTACAATTTGAGAAGATGTCAGTTCACGCCAAACCTCAGTAAACCCATCTAACACCACACCAAGCATCACTAAACCACATTACTTGGGGGCTGCAATTCCCGTTACAATTGGATAACCATAATTGCGGGGGTTATATTCCAGTTTGTGGAGGTGATCACCATGATTTTTCCCGCAAAAACTACCCCAACTGCACCAGCCTCGCGCGCCGCGCCATGACGCGCCGTGCCATGAACGTGGAGAGCGCTGGGCAGCGGCCCATTGGCAACGAGGAGTTTCGCAGCGAATGGCAACGAGCCGCTGAAGGTGTGGCAAGGAACCTTGTGGGCTTCAACAGTGGATGAATTCGGATATCATAGGGATTTCATGGATATTTTGAATTATGATATCAGACTGAAACCTTTATTTAAATGAACTATTTATATAACTATATCATGATATTGAATCATTTATTTATGTTGGATATTTTATGGATATGAACCAACAAGTATGCAGCATCCTTAAAATCACATGTATATCATGCTGAAAGTGCAAAGTGATTACGATTACCCTCTGGTGATTTACTGTAGCTATTGAAAATACGTAGTCCATTTCCAGTTGATTTACCCATTAAAATTAAAAATGGTGATTTTCCATAGCTATGTTAGTTTACCGCAGGGTACACCATTTCTTTTTACATTTTCAAAACTTTTTGACCAACCGCATAGCAGCATACACCACACAGCCACGTTCTGCACCTCCAATCGTGCCTTCAAAAACAGTGCTGCCAGCTGCGCCAAGCAAAGTCTCGAAACATGCTGCGCTGGCCGCGCTGGCCGATGCACCCGACCTGGTGGTCCAGGCAGGTCCAGGCAGGTCCAGGCAGGTCCAGGCAGGTCCAGGCAGGTCGAAGGTCCCGATCAAATACATCTCATGTGATCCCCCAAAATAAATGGATCCAATGCGAAACCAGGATGTTTGAGGGTGTGTATTTCATATTAAGGGGAAGGCTGAGGGGTTTTCACAAGCATCCAATGGCGGCCCTGACAGGAAGCTTGGGATAGCAGCACTTTCCGCGGCTCTGCTGTACACTAAACGCTGATCATGGCTGGTCATGTCTGGCTGGAAAGTATGACATAAACGCAATAACCGCGATGAATAACTACAATTACATAGTTAATCATAGTTATGAGTTTTTCTGAAATATCAATGTGAAAGCAGGCTGAATATAGAATAATATAGATATGGGCATCAGTCATAGTCTTTTGAAAAATACCATGTTTAGTAATTTAGGGGTGATGAACATCCATTAACATCAGCTATTTTGATGTAAAGGGGACCCATACCCATAGATTAGTATAGATACACTCTGGTTATTTAGCATAGCTGTAGAACATGGCCCATTTAGTTCGATGATACACATGATGATTTGCCTGGCTCTTTGACGTGGTGATTTGAACATGTTCGCAAACTGTGACAGATGGATGCAGATGGTGATATCCCATTGAATCATCATTGTAAATACCTGGTTGGTGGTTTGGAACATTGTTTAGTTTTGCATATATTGGGAATAATAATCCCAACCGATTAATATTTTTCAGAGGGGTAGGTATACCACCAACCAAATACAGTACTTAAATCACCATTTCCCATAGGAAATATCGGAAATAGCTTCCAGTTTCAGCGCTCCGTTGTCGCTGGTGGCTCAGGCACCTCTGCTCCTGGTGGAGATCTTTACACCCAGTGGCACCGGCTCTTCGCGCATGGCACGTTGGGCGATGGCCGTGGGGCGGTGGAGTGCTTCGGGCTGCAACAAAGGGGGGATGGGGTTGCATATGATTATACTTAGTACATGGGATAGCCGAGCAGGAATTTGGACTAAGAAAAACGTGGGTTACCAACTAGCTACGAACTACAAAGTGGGACCATCCTCCAAGTATGGGTCAAAACTTAAGGTGCAGCGGTCTGCAGATAAACTGATGACTTTTAGATACTTTTAGTATTTAACCATCCAATTTTGTTTTTGTAGGAGTACCCAAGTTTGACGCGCATGTGGGCGTTCGTCCCATGTGGCAGTTTTTAACGCACTACAGTGAGGATGGAACCATGGTGAAATGGTGAAATGGGGGAGAAGCTGCGATAATTGGGGTATGACCAGCAAATGCTGAGTGTATCTATCTGTTCCTCGTAGTGCCAGCAACTGCTTTGTGCTTCGTAGTTTCCCAGCAGAAATAAGACGAGCCAAATCGCAGAGCGTCTCGGTTGGCCTGGTGCATAGGTTTGCCTGTCATACAACTGACCACTGGTTCAGGAAGTAGGCGCCACCCTGAGGTTGCATTGGAAGGAGGAAGATGGCTACGGATACAAGGTCGGTGACCTAGTACCCTTTGGTAAACTAACATAGCTATTGAAAATGGCCATAGAAATAGTTGATTTACCCAGCTATAAAAGGGTGATTTTCCATATGTTAGTTTACCAGAGAGTATCCACCCATAGAATTCAATTCTCAGCAAAAAACAAGGCCGATGCTCGTTGAAAAACCGGGGGGATGACAACAAATCCCATTGTTTATGGTTCAAAGAACCCATCGTCAATGGGATTTTATTACATGATAGTATGAGTATCCATTGTTTCATCCTAATGATAGTTAAATCCCATTTGTTTTTCCAGTAAATCACCATGAATCGCCCAGGATGTCCCCGGGATTTTCAGGTTCTGTGGCTCCGCGGGTGGCAAGGCTCCACTGTCCCGACGACCTTCAGCACTTCCAAAGTGGCGCGAGCGTTATTTCGCTGGGGATCGTTGGTGCCGTCCCAGATGGTTATGGCGGTTATGGGTCAAGCCATTAAAGAGTTTTTTTTTTTAATCATCTGGGAGATCTGGGAGCCGATCGCAAATTCTCTATTTCAAGTCTAAGAGTTATGAAGCCGGGCATGTGTATTAAAAGGCATCCGCGATATCGTAAATTACCCTGCGTCGTGATTGATCGGCGATTGGTTTGCGATTGAGACAAACACTTGTTGTTAAGAATCGCCTATTGTAAGAAGAGAAATCAACATTACATTTTAATGGCATGATAATTATGTTACATTTCAGCCTTATACTGTATTCGGGTCTGCCTAGACACTGTGTTCAATAGTGATAGCCAATAGCAAAGAAGAATCAGAACAACAAGTTCAAAATCTAACAACCCAGATCAATTCAATTTTCGAAAAATGTCGATGAAATCCGCGATTGGTTCGCGATTGCTCCGCGATTGTTAACCCCGCCTCAGTAGGCCCTGGCTCACGCCATGTCTCTAAATACTGTGATATTATGTACCTGCAACATCCACCTGTGCTAAAAAATTGGCCTCTTAGCAAAGAGTGCAAAATTTCAGCCCCTTAAAATTAAAAAAATCCCTGGCAGTTTTCTTGAGCAAGAAAAGTGCCCTTGGAAGATCATACCGGAATCATATCCAAGTAGTTCTATTCCAAGTTGTGATTCCAATCCTACAACTGTTGGATACTGTTGGTGCCTGCTACTAGCACCAAATCAGCGACTGAAGAGCCTGCATGACATGCCAGTGTGGGATGAGCATGTTGCTAGAATGGTATGAAAGAGGGCAAAGCTGCTTAAGACAAGAAAACCAATGAAGCCAAAGACAGGTGAAGTGGGAGCCATGGTCCCAGTGTCATAAAAATTAGAACCGGATCGCTCAATTTGACAATGTGCGTTGTGTGCGCCCATGGTTTGTCACCCGTATCATACCTGAAAAGCCTCGAATTTCGAAATAGGAAAATGTGTGGTTTCCCAATTACGGCAAATTACGCCTTTTTCCCGGCAAAGTACGCCTTTTACCCGGCAAATTACGCCTCTTAAAAGCGTAGGATTTTGGCAAAAATGAAACCTTGTTATACCATACCTTATCATACCAGTAATTAGATGATCCCTGGTTTTGTGATCAGGAACTGATCATGCCATAAACAAACGTGTCATTCGTCGCCGTCGCAGCAGTTGATGGGAATGGTAAGCCTATCATGCCATGATAACCGTGTCGTGCCAGGAAAATCGTGTCAAACAAAAAGAGTATCTTACAATATCGTCTTATATATGATGCATACTCTGCGCAACTGCTTCATACAGTAGCAGCCCATAGGCACAGCTTTACCCGGCAACGAGTCTGTGATTAGTTAATTATTCCGCCGCCTTGCCCCTGAAACATCTTCGAACTTTAACAGGAAACTGGCGTCAAACCTACTAAAAGAAAAGGTTATAGGATCTAGCACCCACAACCGTTGCTTACCTTCATTATAGGGAGACACAACCGCTACTCCACTTCCTGAGACTTACCAACCCACTTCAACCTTTGGGGGTGGGGTGGGGCTAGGGAAGAAAAGGGTAGGATCTACCAGCCGCAACCGTTGCTTACCTTCATTATAGGGAAACACAACCGCTACTCCACTTCCCGAAACTTACCAACCCTCTTCTGTAATGATAGAACGCTCCAAAAGTCAAAAAACGCCTCTTAGATAAAAAGGCAGATCTGGGCTAAGGGGCAAAAAAAGAGACCCTCAGGAACATCTAGGTAGCAATGTTTTGACGATTCTCTGCGCAAAATAGTGTCGCATACGACAGAACCTTCCCGCGATTGACACCGTTGGGATCGCTGTTGATTCGCGGTTGATCGGCGATTGTAGCTGCCCCAGATACCTTTATTTTGATCAACACTCATCCAACATCATCTAACATGGGTTATTAAGCATGTATTAAAGACCTGAACAACCACAGATGGCTTAGTCACTTTGTCTACTTTAATATGAAGCATCTTAAAACATGGGGCTATCCACTGACTTGACCCGTAGCCATTTGGTAAGTGGTTCATAAGCCATATCTAACTGGTGAATAACCCATGATTAGAAAGTGGTTTGTAACCATCGTCCTTAGTTGTACTCCATTTGGTACGTGCTTAATCACCCCTGTTGATTTATCATTTTGATTTGACCAATATGTGTAGGCTTTTGACCATCAACAATATGAGGATACAAGTGGATATGACTGATAAGTGGATAAATGATCGTTATCATTATCATTATTATTCTATTCACCCCGCTTCGCATGGGGTGGCCGCCCACACCGCAGGTTTATTTCGGTCCGTGAGAGGGGCTAAGGGTGGTTTTCCCCCGTGGGGGCTCTTCAAGCTAAGAAGTTTCAATAAGAAATCCTTCCAAAACATTGTTTTTGACAGTGTTTTTCCAATGTTTCCAGTCAAACAGACGGTAATTTACACGTTTTTTGCCATAAAGGCAGTAAATCCTTCCAAAACATTGCTTTTGACAGTGTTTTTGTAATGTTTCCAGTCAAGCATACGGTAATTTACACGTTTTTTGCTATAACGTCAGTCCAAAACACTTGTTTTTGCAGTGTTTTCAATGCTCTGGCATCCAAAAACCCTGCAAAATCTTGCTATGTACAATGTTTTTTTCATTTTTGGCCCTTTTTCCATTGCCGGAAAGCTACCAAAATGACCCAAAATTCCATTTCAATACCCTCTTGCGCTCAGACACCCAAAAATCCTCGAAAAATGTCGAAAACACCACCGTATTCTGGTCTCGGTGCGAAACCGTTTTTGGGGTCTGGTCTCGGTGCGAAACCGTTTTTGCCCCCCCCCCCAGCTAAAGCTGATATAGCGACTGCTATATTAACAAATGTCATTGAGCATTTAGTGTTGCTGTTGCCCCCCAATAAGCACGCCTTCACCGCCAAAGCGGTGTGGGCGGATTTATGGGAATCTGTAGCGGGTGCACACTGGTAGCAGATTGAGCTCTCAACCAAATGGGGTTTCCACAGCCCCACCAATCAAACAGCACAGCAAATGAAGCGAGCGCAAGGCTCAGCAAATGTTTTCCATGCACAGCGGGTGTGCGTACAATCGCACCATCAAGTGCTCAAAGGGGCCCCTACAGACCCGTATGGTCATATGAGCCAAGCATCACGGAGTCATCCAAGTTTCAGATTGGCAATGCTGATTGGCAAAGGAAGGTACCTGGCAGGTCAGGAGCTGGACATGTTGCACCAGCACAAAAGAAGGTTGAGCAATACTTCGATTGCTCATAGATCACATCCTGCCAGGTTTCAAAACTATCACTCTCACTGACGCTCTCAGTTGAAATCAGCAGCTGCTCAATCAAAGCGGCATTGACTGTGTCATCATTCTGCAAGGCTCGCGCAAAGAGACCATGCAAAGCGTCATCAACTTTCTTTACAGCAGTCAGTCCGGCACGCTTGTTCTTTTTGGCAGCAGTGAAAGAAGGATCAAAAGCAATACTCCAATGCCAATGACGCAAAAACTTCATCAAGCCATCTCGGCTGTCGTTGCGCTTCTTGGTCATTGAGTCTGCTAAATCATAGTCAGATGCCAGCCAGCGAAGTTCACTTCCAACTCGCTGCAAGTTGTCTCGAAGCTGAAATGCTTGAAGGGCAGCTCGGAGATTTGAAAGACCAAGGAGAGGGGATTCGTTCACCTCCACCGCATCATGTCCACCACGGCTATCCGTGCAAATGATGCCCTTGATACATCTCACCTGGTTTTCGGTGGCTTCAACCAAGTCATCACGCTGTCCATGACGTCCAAAACAAGCGCCATGCATTTCAGTCCACAGAAGTCGGACCCGGTAATTCTGGTCCTCACCTTCCAAAACAGCTTGCACCTCTGCGTCGTTGGAGGCAATGGCCTTTCGCTTCAGTTTCCAGCTTCGCCAGGTCAGGGGCATCATGGGACACACACACACCCTGAGACAGCTTCAGGTCCAGCAGCAAGTGTAACAAGTCCACCAGTGCTATCGCCTTTTGGGCGATTGTTGTGGGCTTGATCTCCCATAGTGATGAAAACCATTTGATTCCATCGCTCCACAGTTGGCAGCTTGAAAAACTCAAGGTGTTGAGGTTCACGGCGCACTTCGCCAATCATTTGTTGGATCTCCCTCGCATGTTCCAGTGTGCCTGCTGTTACAATCTCAGTCAAAAGAATGTTGCACCTGGAGCAGAGTTGAGGTTGAGATTGGATGGCTAGCCATTGAAGTCCACCAAGAGAGGTACGACAGGCAGCCACCTCAGAAGGAGTCAAAGGACCATTGCTGCGAAGACGAACTGGATCAATGTTGACATCCGGCAGTGATTCAACATAGGCATCTTGATCGATGCGCAGCTTGAAGCCATTCTTGGTCTCAATGGTGTTGATGTCACTTCCAGCATGACGATAGCTGTCGCGTTTCATAGTTCCCCACTTGTAGGAGGCATCTATCTTCTGGCAAATCTGTTGCCACTCCAAGGATGTGTCATCACCGATCCTGTGGAAGTCGTCCACATGACCACCCATGGCTCCTATGAGCCGAGGAAACTTGCCCGTGATGTCTTTCTCGTGCTTGCTGAACCAAAGCCATAGGCAACGTTCGCCAAGTGCAGCACGGCCATCCAAGGAGGTTAAGGTACGATGCAGATCAAGCCAGAGACCCCTTGGGGCCGTTGTTGACCCGTAGATGTTGCGAAGAATACGCAAGACAGAGTCTCGTGGGATCTGGAGTGCATCGTGAAGTTCCTGGACACCTGTTGTCCATATCTTGCTGTCGGCCTCAGTAGGCATTGTCTGCAAGAATGCCGTCGCTAAGTCCAGGCCATGTAGTCGCCACTGGTGCGTCGCGGCGAGTAGATAGAGCATATTTCTGCCCAAGGAACTCTGCACCGGAGCTGATGTTTTGAACCCCTTGTCAAGAAGAGAGGGGTGCTGGTAGCCCAGGAGGACAATGCGCGCCTTCGCCTTCTTCGTGGCTGTGGCGTTGACGACGCTGTCAGGATTCTTGTCCCTGTCTTCCTCAGCGGCGGTCTTTTCATCTGGAGCAACAGCCTTCCAGGTCAGTACCCATCGGGCTTTCAATATT